GCCGCGACTTGCCGGGGTTTGCAGGGACGACTTGGGGCCTTGGTCGTCGTCCAGCCGAGGTCCCATGGCGCGCTGACGTGGGGCGCGGCAACCGGAGGCCACGTGGCCCCGGAGGCCGCAGTTATAGCAGGTGATGACAGTCGTCGGAGATCTCGGTTGCTCCAGCTTGCGGGCCGCTCGCAGAGGCGAACGACCCCCCGATCTCCAGTCCCCCGGTCGTCCCGCGATGAACGCCTCCTCTCGTGGGCTGACGACTTGGGGCACGGTGACAACTGGGCCCGGAGTTGAGGCCACGGCAGCGTTGCAGACGACTCCCTGTTTACGTTGAAGGACCTCGTGCGCTTGTATGCTTGTGGCGACCCGTAAGGATGAAATATCGGTCTCATCGGCCGTGTTGATGGGGACCCCCAGGTCCTGCGCCAACTTGAGCAGCTGCTCCAAAACCATGGCATCTTGGCCCTCCTCGTCCATACGAGGGAACGCGGCGTCGGCGAGAGCAAGCAACGCCGTGCGGTAGGCGAGCACGGTCTCCGTGTCCGCCTTCCGTCTTGCATAAAAATGATGGCGGCACGCGGAGGGAGGACCATAGACCTTGGCCATGAGAGCCAGCGCATCTTTGAGCGTGGAGCGGTCCGACCTGCGTGCGGACGTGAAGGCCGCGAGCGCGTTGTCATCCAGCATGGCAGGCAGTGCCCGCAGTGCCGTAGCGTCGGACCAAGCGGACATCTCCTGATGCGCCAAAAATCTGCGCTGAAATTGGCTCCAATCCCCGCCTTCCGCCTTGAAGGCTGACAACGTGGGAAGGCGCTGCTGAAAAATGAAGTCGTCCTCCTCCTCGTGCTTCCTCTCTGCCGCCCCGCCGGTGTGTAAGATGGCGGCCCCATCGGCGGGTGTGTGATGGCGGTCCGCCGCGCGCGTCGGTGACGTCAGCGGGCGCGCATGGAGAACCCCTGCCACGTGGTGATGGCCGTTCCCGCCAAAAGTCGGTGCAGATGAAATGGCGGCCATCGCCAAATCGTTTTGGCGGGAATCTGCAGGGCGACCCTGCAGAACGTCGGCCGCCGTTCCCGCTCCTCCCGACGAGCTGATCTCCGCCAAGATGGACGCGGCGGCGAGCAGCAGCTCCGCCAGACGGGAGTGCGCTTCGCGAAGCACGGCGTCAGTCCCCCGTGGCTCGTCCGGCGCCGTCGGCGGATCCTGCCCCGTGGGCAACTCCTCTTCCTCACCCCCCGATGCCAGTTGACCCGCGTCGTCGAGGTTGTCCCCGTGGTCAATCCCGTGGGTCCGACGGTTCCTCCTTGTATCCATGCTTGGAAGACCGTTTCACTTCTGACGCCAGTTGAAGTATGGGAATTGACGGCAGGAACTTCTTGACGGGAACACACTTTTATTAAATCTTTACGTATCAAAATACAACGTGTAGTCTCCTTTCTTCCGACTTCACACTCCACTACTCTCGTGTAAACTCTAGGCCTCTGGCTACACACGATACCCTTCACTCGTGTAGACCCTACGCCTCTGGCTACACAATACACTCGACTCGTGTAGACCCTATGTCCCTGGCTACACAATACACTGCATTCGGCTCGTGTAGACCTTACGCCTCTGGCTACACACACTACACTCGCCTCTGGGTTACACAGAGTCCCGGTCCCGTTAGGACAGCGGGACTAGGTACCGCAGGGCCCTAGGTCTTCATCCCCGTCTTCATTCTTCGCTGGTTACACACTGCCCTCACGCCTGTGTGCATCCCCTTTTATAGCCCCTGCTCACGAGAGGCGGAGCTGATGCGTACTTCAACGTGAGCATCGCTCCTTAATGAACCAATCACGACGCACTCTCTCTACGATCCGTTTTCCCCAGCGCGTGTTAACACTCCTCCACCAATCACACCGCGCTGCCACCCGATCACTCCCTCTCAGCACGTCACCCGTCCACAGCCAATCAGTACCCCGTAACCCACGACCCCGCGCTGACCCCTGATCCTCCACCGTCAGCGCACGTCACCACCTACACAGCCAATCATTACGCGGTGGCATACGATCTCTAATCCCAGCGCGTATCACCTCTACACTATCATTAACACCGTTCCCATGTGACTCATCAATGCTATGGTCCTATTATTGCAGTCTGTCAAATCTCCTTTCTTAGGTATCGTAACCATCACAGATGTTGTCCATTCATCTGGTATTTTTCATTATCTCCATATGGCCATGCATAGCTCATGAGTTATTTTCCTCCAGATATTTTTTTATAATTTTCCCTCTTAATCCATCCATATCTGGGCTCTTATTTTTCTTGAAAATTGTTTTGCATTCTCTACCTCTTTGTATAAGATTGTATCATTTTCCTCGTCCCGATCCGTTTCCCTATATAATTCACTACAATACTCTGTCCATCTATTGTTATATTATTCTTTGTCCATTAAAATATTACCATCCTTGTCTATTATAGCTACTTGTCTTGGTTGCCACTTCTATTTGTACTCTTGACAAGTTTGTCAACCTCCCTGGTTTTATACTCTCCTGCGTACTGTCCCACGTCACTACATCGTTTTTCAAGCCATTCCTGCTTGTCTCTTCTTGCTGATCTTCTTACTTCATTGCACGGTTTTTTGTACTTTTTCTGCATCTCTTCTGAATATTTTATTTTTAGGCTTGCTTTTCTCCATTCCTGTGCCAGTTGTAAGGTTCTATCTGTTATCAAATTTCTTTAGGTGTTTCTGCTCAGGGTATTGTTGCTTCTACTGTCTGCTCCACTATCTTGTTTAGGGTGGTTGCCTTCATGTCAATATACTTTTTTCTGTTTCTGCCTCCATCATCCTTTTTCTTATTTCCTCTTCGAGTTTCCTGTTTCCTTATTGTCACGTGCCTCGATATTCTGCTCATAAAGCGTCCTGGGCATGCATTCTAACTTCAATTGTAAGTTACATAATACTCAGCTATGGTCAGATGCTATGTCGGCTCCTTGAAATGTCCTGCACAGTTTCACTGATGCTCTCCATCGCCTGTCAATCGTTACCAAGTCTATCATATTTGTATGTTTTTAATCTGGTGTCTTGCATTTATATTTTTAAAAGTCTTTTTGTTGGAACTTAGTATTACAAATCAACATATCATATTTTGCAGCAAATTTTAGTAATTTATCTGCTCTTACATTTCTTTCTCCATACCCATGCCTTCGCATAATATGCTCCCATTCGGAGTTATCCTTTCCAATCTTCACATTCCAGTCTCCTACAATTATTTTAATATCTTTTATGGATACTTCCTTCAAGGTGTCCTCTATTTAATCAGGGAACTCTTCAAGAGCCTCCTCTGTGCTGTCCGATGTTGGTACATATACGGTACATACACCTGGATAACATAAATATTTAAAGGTTGTCCCTTGAATCTTGCAACAATAATGTTTCAGTCTCCTGGTTTGTATCCTAATGGAGCTGCTTTTGCACTGGCACTTATTGTGAATTCTACTCCTCTAATCTGCTCCTTTTCTTCTCCGCACCAAATTACTTCACCTCCGCCTATCTCCCCTGCACCTGTCCATCTCAATTCTGATAGTACTAAAATGTTATACCTTTCCATTTCTTTCTTAAGTAACTCTAACTGAACTGTTGCATGTAACGTTCTAACATCCCATGTCCCTACTGTGATTTCTTCTGTTGTTATTTTGAGCTTGTGCTAGTTGTGCTGGTTACCGGTAGTACATTTTGTGACCCAATCCTGGTTGCGCAATTGAAAACGCAGACCTATGTTTGTCATTGCATAGGAATTCTTCTGTATTTGTTCGTTATGGGCCGAAGTATCAGCACCCATTTGCCCGACCCTCCTCCTTTATCCCGGCTTGGAGCTGGCTCAAGTACCCACTGGCTTGTGGAGCCCCGAGGCGGAGATCCACCCTCGTCACGATAATCATTCTCATGGCTCTAGCCATGGCTACTCATCACATGACACCTACGCCAGTCGACCAGCAACCTGAAAATGTTGACCAAGAGATTAAACACATAGTTTCACGTAGATACTGAATGCCTCGTATAGACACCAATCGCTTACATTGAGATGCAAAGACTCCTATAAACGCCCATAGATTTATATCGAGATTCATAGACATGCATAGAGACTAAGACTCCCATTCACATCCATGGATAGCATGGGTTTACATAGGGTTTAATATCAGCCGACCCAGAAATTACACAACTGGCACACCAAATAGAGCATGCTTCCTCGCTATGGCAGTGGCTGCTAGCCACGTGCCACCTACTCCAATCCACCAGTGCCTTGGAAAATATCGAGTTATATTTTAATTCCTGTGTGAGGAGACGCTCTCCGCTTGTTTAAGCCGTAATGAGATGCGTGGAGAGATGCAGGCGACGGCGCTATTTTAGACGGCCTCGCTCTCAGCCCTTTGATCCCGGGTCCTGCGCTGAATTAATGACCTGATCTCTGACAGTCGGTGTCCAAATGGAACCAATTAAGGTTGCGGTGCGAGATGAGCTTTTGTAAAACAAAATGTCATTTATTATTCAGAGGTGCGCAGAGAGGGCACGGCGGGTGGGGCGGGGGGGGATAATGAACACAATGCTTGTGAAACGTGTGTTGGCTGTGTGTGCGGCGGTGTGTGGGTGTGTTGGTCTGCATGTCTCGGCCTGTGTGTTCGTTGTGTGCGACCGCATGCTCGTGCGTCAGTGTGTGTGCGCTCGTGTGCCCATTTGTCTGTACGCTCTTGTATTAGTGTGTGTCTTTGTGCCCATGCGCCCATGTGTCTCTTAGTCCACGTGTATCTGTGTCGCACTTGTTGTTGGGGAGACCTTTATGCATCAGTAGATAGATCATGTTTGCTGTTTCATCACAGCCCTGTATCCATATGTCCGTGTGTCAGCCTATCTCCATGTTCTTGTGCCTGTGTATCCAATTTGTGTGCGTGTGTCCGCGTGTGTCCGCATGTGTCCGCGCGTGTCCGCGCGTGTCCGCGCGTGTCCGCGTGTGTCCGCGTGTTTGCAGGAGCCAGGCTACTCGACGGAGATGCGGAAAGACTCTCTTCAAGATTTTGAGTTCCCGGGCGGACGCGTGTGGCGGGAGCTCGCCAGCTCAGGGAAACATGCGGTGGCAGTGGCGGTGACGGAGGGAGGCTCGTAGAGACGACATCGCGGACATCACCAACATCGCAGAGCCAAACCGAAGCGACTACCCCTTCTGTGTGGCGCTTCTGCAAACAAATATTTCTGCTACCGGCACTCCACACCCAGTGTACCACTCACTATGGCTGTGGCTTCTAATCATGTGCCTGCTCCAATATGACAGCAACCCACAAAAATGTTCAGGAAAAATGGATCAGTGATTCTAACCATTTAATCAGCGGTGTCATTGGGTAGCCCAGCACGAGTCTGCTTCGGAGCCGGTATTCGGTCTCTGGTTTTCAATCCCAGTTTTGATATTTGGTCTGTGGTCTTATTTGGTATCTGACGTTTGGGGAGACCTTCATCTAGCCGTGGACAGATCATGTTTGCTGCTGATGACGATCATGATGATTTAATCTATGCTCACAATATTCAGTTTGCGGTATTTGGAATTCTGTCTCCGCTATTCGGCCTCTGTGAATTGACTGACCAATTCACTTTGTGTATAACGACCATGGGTGGTTTGTGTTAGAGTTGCCAGGTTCTAGAGACTGAGGAGGGAAGGACGAGTTATGGTGGGTTGAGTGCAGGGAGCAGGATGGTCCCGTTATGAAGTAGTCTAGGATCTAACTTCGTCATTATCATCACTGTCATCAAATCATTATCGAGTTTATTCCTGTGCATCGCAGCCATGCTACTGGTCAGAGTTAAACTTAGAGCGATGAGGTGTGCTGGAGAGCCGCTTGTGATGGGAGAGCATCGTTGAGTTGACGCCGTTTCCGAGGGGCATGAGAATACCGCCCACCGCGAGGCATAGAGAGGAGAGCAGATCGCTGGGTTGGGAATGAGGTTTAGGCAAGACGAGAGGGTTCTGCTGTCCTTGGGGACTCTGGCCCTGGGAAGCAATGATGATATTATTTTTAGATCGCATGAAGAACAATGAAAATATAAATTGTAGAAGATGAATAATTCAATTTTCCAGCCGTAGCTGGGGTTGCAATGTTCCACGTCCCCCTCCTAAGGTTTATTAATTTACGCGATTCCTCTTGAATAAATGCGCTGAGTGGGGGCCGCACTTTCTCATTACGCCGCCACAATGGCTCCCGGACGTGGCATTTATCGAGCAGAGTAGGCGCGCAAAACGCCGCTCCGCTCCACTCCACCGACGGTGACAATCACTGCACCCGGTGATTAATGGATGGATGCCGTTCTGAATTGACGGTCACTATCTGGCAAGTAGCTGCCACTTTGTGGCCTATACCACCGAATTGGACAGGAACCTGTGGTCATTCGCTTGAGTTGGTAATTTTCGTTTAGGTCTCGTTTGAAAAAAGATGTATTTTTGCACTCTGACCTGGTTTTGATTAAAATATATTGATTGTTGCAATTTGTGGATTTGGTTTATTGCCCTGTGGTGCCTGGGAGTGTTATTCCCCTTGTGGTTTCTCCATGGATCATCAGCTGCCTTGTGTTGTCTGAGGCACAGTGCAGGCGGTATGGTGTTCTCCACTTGTTACAGAAGTTTGTGGTTCGAATCTGGCAGGCTGCGCTGATTACTCGAGTGTGTTTTAATTAATCGTGGAAATACACGCCGTGTGCTTCACAGTGAATGCTAATGATCCTCTGATATTCTAAACGAGTAGGCCATTGAGTGCCGGCGTCATGTTCCAAATTTGGTAAGAATAAAAAAACACCATAAAGTACACAATTGGGATTACACAGCAATCGTGGCAGTCGAACGCCTGGCTCCTAGGCCCGACGCCTCAGCCAATCTCTGCCCCACGCCTCCTCTGTGAGCCATTCTCTGCCCACGTCTCCTCTGTGAGCCATTCTCTGCCCCACGTCTCCTCTGTGAGCCATTCTCTGTCCCACGTCTCCTCTGAGCCATTCTCTGCCCCACGTCTCCTCTGTGAGCCATTCTCTGCCCCACGTCTCCCCTGTGAGCCATTCTCTGCCCCACGTCTCCCCTGTGAGCCATTCTCTGACCACGTCTCCTCTGTGAGCCATTCTCTGCCCCACGTCTCCTCTGTGAGCCATTCTCTGCCCCACGTCTCCCCTGTGAGCCATTCTCTGTCCACGTCTCCCCTGTGAGCCATTCTCTGCCCCACCTCTCCCCTGTGAGCCATTCTCTGCCCCACGTCTCCTCTGTGAGCCATTCTCTGCCCCACGTCTCCTCTGAGCCATTCTCTGCCCCACGTCTCCTCTGTGAGCCATTCTCTGCCCCACGTATCCTCTGTGAGCCATTCTCTGCCCCACGTCTCCCCTGTGAGCCATTCTCTGTCCACGTCTCCTCTGTGAGCCATTCTCTGTCCACGTCTCCTCTGTCATTCTCTGTCCCACGTCTCCCCTGTGAGCCATTATCTGTCCCACGTCTCCTCTGTGAGCCATTCTCTGCCCCACGTCTCCTCTGTGAGCCATTCTCTGTCCCACGTCTCCCCTGTGAGCCATTCTCTGTCCCACGTCTCCTCTGTGAGCCATTCTCTGTCCACGTCTCCTTTGTGAGCCATTCTCTGTCCACGTCTCCCCTGTGAGCCATTCTCTGTCCACGTCTCCTCTGTGAGCCATTCTCTGTCCACGTCTCCCCTGTGAGCCATTCTCTGTCCACGTCTCCCCTGTGAGCCATTCTCTGTCCCACATCTCCTCTGATAGCCATTCTCTGTCCCACGTCTCCCCTGTGAGCCATTCTCTGTCCACGTCTCCCCTGTGAGCCATTCTCTGTCCCACGTCTCCTCTGTGAGCCATTCTCTGTCCACGTCTCCCCTGTGAGCCATTCTCTGTCCCACGTCTCCCCTGTGAGCCATTCTCTGTCCACGTCTCCTCTGTGAGCCATTCTCTGCCCCACGTCTCCCCTGTGAGCCATTCTCTGTCCACGTCTCCTCTGTGAGCCATTCTCTGTCCACGTCTCCCCTGTGAGCCATTCTCTGTCCACGTCTCCTCTGTGAGCCATTCTCTGTCCACGTCTCCCCTGTGAGCCATTCTCTGTCCCACGTCTCCCCTGTGAGCCATTCTCTGTCCACGTCTCCCCTGTGAGCCATTCTCTGTCCACGTCTCCTCTGTGAGCCATTCTCTGCCCCACGTCTCCCCTGTGAGCCATTCTCTGTCCACGTCTCCTCTGTGAGCCATTCTCTGTCCACGTCTCCTCTGTGAGCCATTCTCTGCCCCACGTCTCCCCTGTGAGCCATTCTCTGTCCACGTCTCCCCTGTGAGCCATTCTCTGTCCACGTCTCCCCTGTGAGCCATTCTCTGTCCCACGTCTCCTCTGTGAGCCATTCTCTGTCCACGTCTCCTCTGTGAGCCATTCTCTGTCCACGTCTCCCCTGTGAGCCATTCTCTGTCCACGTCTCCCCTGTGAGCCATTCTATGCCCACGTCTCCCCTGTGAGCCATTCTCTGCCCCACGTCTCCCCTGTGAGCCATTCTCTGTCCACGTCTCCCCTGTGAGCCATTCTGTCCCACGTCTCCTCTGTGAGCCATTCTCTGCCCACGTCTCCCTTGTGAGCCATTCTCTGTCCACGTCTCCCCTGTGAGCCATTCTCTGTCCACGTCTCCCCTGTGAGCCATTCTCTGTCCCACGTCTCCTCTGTGAGCCATTCTCTGCCCACGTCTCCCCTGTGAGCCATTCTCTGCCCACGTCTCCCCTGTGAGCCATTCTCTGCCCACGTCTCCCCTGTGAGCCATTCTCTGCCCCACGTCTCCCCTGTGAGCCATTCTCTGTCCACGTTTCCTCTGAGCCATTCTCTGCCCCACGTCTCCTCTGAGCCATTCTCTGCCCCACGTCTCCTCTGAGCCATTCTCTGCCCACGTCTCCCCTGTGAGCCATTCTCTGCCCCACGTCTCCTCTGTGAGCCATTCTCTGCCCCACGTCTCCTCTGTGAGCCATTCTCTGTCCACGTCTCCTCTGTGAGCCATTCTCTGCCCCACGTCTCCCCTGTGAGCCATTCTCTGCCCCACGTCTCCTCTGTGAGCCATTCTCTGCCCCACGTCTCCTCTGTGAGCCATTCTCTGCCCCACGTCTCCCCTGTGAGCCATTCTCTGCCCCACGTCTCCTCTGTGAGCCATTCTCTGCCCCACGTCTCCCCTGTGAGCCATTCTCTGCCCCACGTCTCCCCTGTGAGCCATTCTCTGCCCCACGTCTCCTCTGTGAGCCATTCTCTGCCCCACGTCTCCTCTGTGAGCCATTCTCTGCCCCACGTCTCCCCTGTGAGCCATTCTCTGCCCCACGTCTCCCCTGTGAGCCATTCTCTGTCCCACGTCTCCTCTGTGAGCCATTCTCTGCCCCACGTCTCCCCTGTGAGCCATTCTCTGCCCCACGTCTCCCCTGTGAGCCATTCTCTGCCCCACGTCTCCCCTGTGAGCCATTCTCTGCCCCACGTCTCCTCTGTGAGCCATTCTCTGCCCCACGTCTCCTCTGTGAGCCATTCTCTGCCCCACGTCTCCCCTGTGAGCCATTCTCTGTCCCACGTCTCCCCTGTGAGCCATTCTCTGTCCACGTCTCCCCTGTGAGCCATTCTCTGTCCCACGTCTCCTCTGTGAGCCATTCTCTGCCCACGTCTCCCCTGTGAGCCATTCTCTGCCCACGTCTCCCCTGTGAGCCATTCTCTGCCCACGTCTCCCCTGTGAGCCATTCTCTGCCCCACGTCTCCCCTGTGAGCCATTCTCTGTCCACGTTTCCTCTGAGCCATTCTCTGCCCCACGTCTCCTCTGAGCCATTCTCTGCCCCACGTCTCCTCTGAGCCATTCTCTGCCCACGTCTCCCCTGTGAGCCATTCTCTGCCCCACGTCTCCTCTGTGAGCCATTCTCTGCCCCACGTCTCCTCTGTGAGCCATTCTCTGTCCACGTCTCCTCTGTGAGCCATTCTCTGCCCCACGTCTCCCCTGTGAGCCATTCTCTGCCCCACGTCTCCTCTGTGAGCCATTCTCTGCCCCACGTCTCCTCTGTGAGCCATTCTCTGCCCCACGTCTCCCCTGTGAGCCATTCTCTGCCCCACGTCTCCTCTGTGAGCCATTCTCTGCCCCACGTCTCCCCTGTGAGCCATTCTCTGCCCCACGTCTCCCCTGTGAGCCATTCTCTGCCCCACGTCTCCTCTGTGAGCCATTCTCTGCCCCACGTCTCCTCTGTGAGCCATTCTCTGCCCCACGTCTCCCCTGTGAGCCATTCTCTGCCCCACGTCTCCCCTGTGAGCCATTCTCTGTCCCACGTCTCCTCTGTGAGCCATTCTCTGCCCCACGTCTCCCCTGTGAGCCATTCTCTGCCCCACGTCTCCCCTGTGAGCCATTCTCTGCCCCACGTCTCCCCTGTGAGCCATTCTCTGCCCCACGTCTCCTCTGTGAGCCATTCTCTGCCCCACGTCTCCTCTGTGAGCCATTCTCTGCCCCACGTCTCCCCTGTGAGCCATTCTCTGTCCCACGTCTCCCCTGTGAGCCATTCTCTGTCCCACGTCTCCCCTGTGAGCCATTCTCTGCCCCACGTCTCCTCTGTGAGCCATTCTCTGCCCCACGTCTCCCCTGTGAGCCATTCTCTGTCCACGTCTCCCCTGTGAGCCATTCTCTGTCCCACATCTCCTCTGTGAGCCATTCTCTGTCCCACGTCTCCCCTGTGAGCCATTCTCTGTCCACGTCTCCCCTGTGAGCCATTCTCTGTCCCACGTCTCCCCTGTGAGCCATTCTCTGTCCCACGTCTCCTCTGTGAGCCATTCTCTGTCCACGTCTCCCCTGTGAGCCATTCTCTGTCCCACGTCTCCCCTGTGAGCCATTCTCTGTCCACGTCTCCTCTGTGAGCCATTCTCTGCCCCACGTCTCCCCTGTGAGCCATTCTCTGTCCACGTCTCCTCTGTGAGCCATTCTCTGTCCACGTCTCCCCTGTGAGCCATTCTCTGTCCACGTCTCCTCTGTGAGCCATTCTCTGTCCACGTCTCCCCTGTGAGCCATTCTCTGTCCCACGTCTCCCCTGTGAGCCATTCTCTGTCCACGTCTCCCCTGTGAGCCATTCTCTGTCCACGTCTCCTCTGTGAGCCATTCTCTGCCCCACGTCTCCCCTGTGAGCCATTCTCTGTCCACGTCTCCTCTGTGAGCCATTCTCTGTCCACGTCTCCTCTGTGAGCCATTCTCTGCCCCACGTCTCCCCTGTGAGCCATTCTCTGTCCACGTCTCCCCTGTGAGCCATTCTCTGTCCACGTCTCCCTGTGAGCCATTCTCTGTCCCACGTCTCCTCTGTGAGCCATTCTCTGTCCACGTCTCCTCTGTGAGCCATTCTCTGTCCACGTCTCCCCTGTGAGCCATTCTCTGTCCACGTCTCCCCTGTGAGCCATTCTTTGCCCACGTCTCCCCTGTGAGCCATTCTCTGCCCCACGTCTCCCCTGTGAGCCATTCTCTGTCCACGTCTCCCCTGTGAGCCATTCTGTCCCACGTCTCCTCTGTGAGCCATTCTCTGCCCACGTCTCCCTTGTGAGCCATTCTCTGTCCACGTCTCCCCTGTGAGCCATTCTCTGTCCACGTCTCCCCTGTGAGCCATTCTCTGTCCCACGTCTCCTCTGTGAGCCATTCTCTGCCCACGTCTCCCCTGTGAGCCATTCTCTGCCCACGTCTCCCCTGTGAGCCATTCTCTGCCCACGTCTCCCCTGTGAGCCATTCTCTGCCCCATGTCTCCCCTGTGAGCCATTCTCTGTCCACGTCTCCTCTGAGCCATTCTCTGCCCCACGTCTCCTCTGAGCCATTCTCTGCCCCACGTCTCCTCTGAGCCATTCTCTGCCCACGTCTCCCCTGTGAGCCATTCTCTGCCCCACGTCTCCTCTGTGAGCCATTCTCTGCCCCACGTCTCCTCTGTGAGCCATTCTCTGTCCACGTCTCCTCTGTGAGCCATTCTCTGCCCCACGTCTCCCCTGTGAGCCATTCTCTGCCCCACGTCTCCTCTGTGAGCCATTCTCTGCCCCACGTCTCCTCTGTGAGCCATTCTCTGCCCCACGTCTCCCCTGTGAGCCATTCTCTGCCCCACGTCTCCCCTGTGAGCCATTCTCTGCCCCACGTCTCCCCTGTGAGCCATTCTCTGCCCCACGTCTCCTCTGTGAGCCATTCTCTGCCCCACGTCTCCTCTGTGAGCCATTCTCTGCCCCACGTCTCCCCTGTGAGCCATTCTCTGTCCCACGTCTCCTCTGTGAGCCATTTTCTGTCCCACGTCTCCTCTGTGAGCCATTCTCTGCCCCACGTCTCCTCTGTGAGCCATTCTCTGCCCCACGTCTCCTCTGTGAGCCATTCTCTGTCCCACGTCTCCCCTGTGAGCCATTCTCTGCCCCACGTCTCCTCTGTGAGCCATTCTCTGCCCCACGTCTCCTCTGTGAGCCATTCTCTGCCCCACGTCTCCCCTGTGAGCCATTCTCTGTCCCACGTCTCCTCTGTGAGCCATTTTCTGTCCCACGTCTCCCCTGTGAGCCATTCTCTGCCCCACGTCTCCTCTGTGAGCCATTCTCTGCCCCACGTCTCCTCTGTGAGCCATTCTCTGCCCCACGTCTCCCCTGTGAGCCATTCTCTGTCCCACGTCTCCTCTGTGAGCCATTTTCTGTCCCACGTCTCCCCTGTGAGCCATTCTCTGCCCCACGTCTCCTCTGTGAGCCATTCTCTGCCCCACGTCTCCTCTGTGAGCCATTCTCTGCCCCACGTCTCCCCTGTGAGCCATTCTCTGTCCCACGTCTCCTCTGTGAGCCATTCTCTGCCCCACGTCTCCCCTGTGAGCCATTCTCTGTCCCACGTCTCCTCTGTGAGCCATTTTCTGTCCCACGTCTCCCCTGTGAGCCATTCTCCGGCCACGCCTCCTCTGAGCCCGCTAATCCAGGCTGAGTAGTCGATCTCCGAGGCGTCGACACGGACCTGCCAATCAGCCCTCGCTGCCGAGCGCCGATTCGCGGCGAGCGTCGATCTCCGTCTCGCGTGGCGATGCCGTCTTATTCAGGTGCGCGCCCCGCGGGGCTCTCAGACGGGGTCCCCGGGGCGTTTGCGGGGTCTCCGAGACCCCTCTAGGGTCCCACGTGGCGAGACGATATTCATAGAGACGACCCGGGGTGGCCCGTGGTTCCAGAGCCTCGGAGCAGCGGGGTCTTAGAGGGAGTCCGGTCTTGACTAGAAACCCCGCCGGGATCTGGGCTGCGTTACAGGCAACCGTTTTAGGCAAGGCCGGGGTCGGCGGCACTAGGCCGTTGGGCTTTTAACATTAAAATTATTGCCGTGAATTGTCTGCAATTTTATTAAATGTGCTCATATGAACAAGTTGTATATTTGGCTAAACCAGTGGTCGATTGTAATTACATTTGCAGCAGCATTATTAAAGTTATAATTGCACTCTGTTTACGAATGACTGAGTAAAAATTGTAATGGCTCCACGTTTGGATTTGTGGCGGTTGCCTCCGAACAAGTTTCAGTTTCATGTATTTGGTGAAGCGCTGTGAGCCACTGGGCTCTTGAGTCAGAGGACAGGGCGGTCATTTCGAGACGTTTTATGAGAATCTCGATGTGGGGAGGTTTGTGCGAGGACGTTGTGGACGAGGGATGTTCCATGGGGGAGATGTTTGATGTGGGACATGCTCACCGTATGAATGGTTAAACATGGGACGTTGGAGATGTTAGAGGTGGGAGATGGTTGATGTGTGAGTTACACGGGAGGTACGAGTTTTGGGAAATCTTTGCAGACGGGGAGATGTTGATGCGTGAGATATTGGGGATGAGAAATAGTTAGGTGGGAGATGCGAACAAGTTCAAAGCAAGAGAGCTTGAAATTGGAAATGTTCCGGGAGAGAGATATGCATGAGTTGGTTACTAAAGTGGGATATAGTTGTTGCGGAAGATGTGATAATTCAGGGGGAGATGTCCAAGTGAGAGAGAAGTTCTCTGCCGCCGTAAGCGGTGGGCGCGCGGCCTCGCGGCGCCGTTTGCTGAGTCACCGGCCGGGAGGGGTCGCGCTGCGGCTGTGGGAGAGAGGCCGTGGTGAGAGCAGTGCCATGTGCTGCTGTCCCACACCGTAGGCCATCATCGTCAGTGTGATTCCCTGCGCAAATGGTCATTGAGGAGGTGCTCCTCTTCTGTCTACACCGCTGAGCCAGTGGTGGAAATCATGCATTGCTGTGGCGGGAGCGAGTACAGCTATAGGACAAACAAGTGGTACTCGTATTGAGCCCTGGGGGATGATGAGCTGAGTCATCCACAACTTGGATTTGACCTCGCAGTCTTCGTCTCCTGATTGTGAATCAGTCTCCACCGCTGAGGCACCTAATCTTAAACCATGATCCCTGTCTAATCCCTAAACCCCAACCCTAACCCAGAACCCTTAACCCCTGAGTTTAGGTATTAACCTAAACTCAAACTCCAAACCATAACCTGTAACTTGGAGAGCGCCATGCCTTAATGTTCCATCAGCTGGCACCCAAGGATGGTCTGTGTAACTAAATTGGTTTGAGTTTGGATTTAAACAAATCTGCGGCGACCGTCGTCGCCACTTTCTTGATAACATCAGACTGGAGAGAACTTGGTTGACATGCTGTTAGCAAGTTTTAAAAGCTTTTTTTGGCCAATAAGCCATTGTCTCTGTCACTAACAAAGGGATAATTTGCGAGAGTCAGAGGTTTCCTATAAAGAGAATCTGGCTCAGAGTTTTCGAGATTTTTACGTGTGAAGTGTTGTGTGATTGTGTGCTTCATGATTTGCGGTTCATGACGTGCGGCGACGTAACGTGCTCGTACGTGTGGTGCGCGGTATGTGACGTGTGGTTGTTTGGTTGCGACACGAGTAGTGAAGGTGAAGTGGGGCAAGGAGAAGTACGACGATGTGGAGTTGAACACGGACGAGGTTCCCATCGTCTTTAAGGCGCAGCTCTTTGCGCTAACGGGTGTGCACCCAGATCGCCAGAAGGTGATGCTCAAGGGCGCCACACTGAAGGTGAGAGGGTAGCCAGGAGCAGCTTGGGGTGGTAGCTCGGTGGCACTGGGAAGAGAAAGCACTGGATGTGTGTAAAAGAAAGATGGAATCAATGGTGGAGCCAAGATTTTCAGGTAGGGGGGATAACCCCTCCAGAAACGTGCCAACCCCCCCTCCCCCGCCCACTGGCTCTGCCAGTGGATGTAATGATCTGTTAATTCATCCATTAAAATCGATTATGTTGGTCATGATGCATATATCGGATCATCCGTATGAGAATCAAGTCCTTAGGATTTCTGCAATTCCATGTAAATAATATGCTGATGGATTGGATACAACTGTACAATTGACACAAAAAAATAATAACGTGTTTGAGACTGTAGAAACAAATAAAATGGACTTGAATAGAATCATGTCCCTTATTTTTTACATTTTATATAAGCACCTCGATGAAACTGAATCATTACATGGGCAGTAGCAAATGGCTTACTGCTAAAAAAGCCAACACTGCACAGGCAAGAGACCATGAAGACGGTATATTGCAATAGACACCTGAAATGGACACAAAGCATGGTGCTGAATATCTCGGTCTGTTCATAAAAACAATCATAAAAGTCAACAGATAAAATAAAACTACGTTTCTCCACAGTACAGCGCTTTCACATAACACCAACCTGGTGCACATGCTGGATACATCTGTGTTGGCACATGTGAATTTTAACGGTCTAATTCCACTGCACGGTCTCTATTGTAGGATGACGACTGGGGAAACTTCAAATTAAAAGATGTGAGTATGCACACCTTGTTGTATGTTGGTTTTTATTACTATTTGTCGCTCTACTCATTACAGTTTCTGTAACCCTAGTGACGAAAGAAACTCCACTGCGTGATTTTGAACTTTGCTAGAACACTGCTGTGCTGTCCTCTTGGTTACAATCACGATACCCTCCATCCATCCTAGTCTCTACCTCTTCCATTTTCCTTCCACTTTACAAAACAAGAAACGTTTCTCCAAATGTTTTATATCACACTGATAGCAACATGTCCAATATGCTAGTTTCCATCTTAATGTTACCATGTATTGTGTAGCTATTTCATCAATCTCTCGTTGTGACACTCAAAATATTTTCTTGCTGTTCACAGTATGTGCAATAGCACATTGCCATCTCTGATCATCATTGTCCTGCAGGAATTCTTCGTATGTCAGGGTTGAATACAACAGAGGGTCACTTATGTGTTTCGTGTGTGTGTTGTACGTGTGGAGCTATGTTACAATGGTTAGTACACTGCTAAGAACCCTGTAATCTGAGTTCGATTCCTGGCAGTGGACAACATCAGTAGCGAATAACTGAACCATTTCTGGACCTCCCCTAGGTAAACTCAGCCTGTGCATAAACATGAGCACTAGGATGGGTGTGGTTCTGGCCACACCATCCCCGTGCCAGCCTAAATATGTTCTTGTTCTGTATTTTAAAGGCTACAAGGGGGCTCTTTTGCACGTGTAATTGTGCCTGTGCCGTGTTTGCCATGTGTATTGCACGCGCCGCGCCTGGCAGGGCATCACACTGCTGCTGATGGGCACAGCCGAGGCGCTGCCCACAGAGCCGATTGAAAAGCCCGTGTTCATGGAGGACATGTCCGAGGAACAGCTTGCCTCAGCTGTGAGTGTCCAGGGCGGCTGCTGCCCTTCCCCCTACCTTGAGTTGCCAAAAATGTTGACGTGTGGAATTATAGATGTATATATATTTTTAATATATGCCAACAATTGTATCCCGATTGTGTGATTGGTGTAATGTCATGGGACAAATAATCTATCCAGATGTCGCAGAGCAATGCATCTCGCCGTGTTAGAGAATGACCCCCAGAAGAGGATATCACAGAGCTACTTAATTTCTTTCAGACTAACTCTGGTCCACACAATATAAGGTCTAACTTTGTACGAAGCATCCCTTGAGTGGATCTCCCAGGCTACAGACGTGTCATCGACTTGGCCCTGTTTATATTGCAGATACATGCAGGATTGGGGGGTGGGGGTGGTTAGGGTAAATATGGTCCAATTTTTTTATACGTTTTTAGTGTAAAGTGTTGTTGCTATTAGTGATTTACCTCATATAAAACCAGCCAGATTGATGAAAGCGTTGCATAAACTTTCATGATTAAAGCCAGTGCTACAAGGTTAAGCCTTGTTGATCTAGGTAATGATGTCATACATCATGCCTTCATCGTCCCTCCCGATGACATGTGACATTTAATTACGTGGCTTGGATCATATCGTTATTATTGATAATTATTTTTCCGAGGACAAACGCATGTTGGAAATCGCTGCAGACTTTGTGCAAATGCGTGGTTCTTCTTCCTTGTCCACTCGCGTGACACCGTTCCCTCGGAACACTCCACGGGATTCCACACACTCCCGAGCCGTATGCATTGACACATATGCGCGCGTGACATTTGAAACATTTTGGTCGCCTTGTCGGGGCAGGCTGTATTATCGTAGTCGTGTCCAGACGTGGCTGGGCCATAGCAGCCTGGGCTTGAGTCAGGTGGGAAGGTAGCTGCTGGGATTATTTTCTGTGCACCAGGGTGTTCCGTGGAAGATTTGAACCCAGGTCAGAGTGTAGTATAACATGTCATTTCTTCGCACACGCAATCAATTTATAATGGAGCAGAATATATATTTTCCTTAAACCAGTGCAACTTGGGTCATTGCTTATGGAATCTACGCAGCCATTTACCCAACCTCTTATGGTGTTGGTAGAAAATAAAATAGCAGATTTTGCAGGGTATTTTAGTACACAAACACAATCTGAGTGCCTTAGGTCTTACAGTTCTTGAAACATTAACTTATGAATACTAACATGCTTGTTACTCATGTAATGCGTAATCTGTTGTACCGAGAGAAGTGGTGTCAGTTGATTTCTCTATGAATGTACTTTTTGGTGATATAAAGTTTATTTTTTATTCTCAAAATTGCACTAAATTGGTAGCGTTGCATTGGGTTGTGTGGGGGTTGTGGTGGGTAAGACGGCGTGTATTTGGTGCTTCCGTTTGTATGGTTATGCAGCAGAGCACGTAGAGACATGTCAAGCACGTCCAACCACAGTAGATACATCTGTACATGTGTTCATGGTACACTACATGCCTATTTCTCCCTGTGATGCACACGCCCATGGTTTCCAATAGGCGCTGCAATAAACGAATGCGTTTTAAACAACGTTTCAACACCGTATCAATATAAACTGCACGGTACACCGAGCATTGTTGTGAAATGATAATAGAGTTTTGGATAATTGTTTATGGAATTAATAATTGACTCCGAAAGTCATGGAAACAATGATGGAATCAGGTTGAAGTTTGGTAGCTATTTGAACCGATTGGCATGCGTTGCCGTTCAAACCGCATGGTGCGTTCCAGTGAAGATATGGAATACGTGTTGAAATGCACAGTCCTCTTGTCAGTCAAATTTGGAATGAAGGCCTCACCACAGATGGCTTATAGCTTGGCTCGTTGTACCATATTTCACCACATTGAAAGTTGGAGGTTGGTGAAGGTTGATAAACAAATTGTCAATGTATTTTTTGGTAATATTTTTTTTCTGAACGCCATTATGGACAACGCTCTGATAAAATTCAATTACCAACCCCAGTTTGGTCACGCGTGCGTGTGGTGCATATCGGCGTGTGCGATTGCAGCTGGAGCTGCCACCTGGCCTCACGAACCTGGGGAACACGTGCTACATGAACGCCACGGTGCAGTGCTTGCGCAGCGTCCCAGAGCTGCGTGACGCCCTGCTACGGTAGCGCCACCGCCAGCTGCTCTTGCTGGGCCAACTTGTCTCAATACACACACACATACACACACATACACACACATACACACACCCACCCACACACATACATGCACACACACACCCACACACACACATATAAATACAGTTATACATGTACTCATTCTCCACACACAAATGCCACCTGCCCACCAGTCACAATATACCTGCACATATGCATTGATACAGATACACACATACACACGTACAATGAGAAAGATCCCTTGTATAGCTTTAACAGACTGTGAGGACAAGTGCTGTTAGAGAGCACCTGTGAACGCCAACATGGCACACGAGGGGGTGGGTGGCCAGCACCACGCTCGGCCACTTTTTTCTCCCTGGGCCATGTTTATACATCACCCCAGGTATTCATTTCAGGCTGAGATGACCTAGGGGAGGCCCAGGACTGGTTCAAATATTCGTCACCATTGTTAGCTGTGAGCAAGAATTGAACTCGGGTCACTGGGTTCATAGCACAGTATGCTTACCACTACACCACCACATCCCATTATACACACATACACACATCATACACTCAGATCAAGATCCTCTATATAGCCTCCACAGGACCCTTGGGGCAAGTGCTATTAGCAAGCGACTATTAAGTTCAGAATGGCACTGGAGTGGGTGGCGTGCCTAGTCCCAAGTCTGGCTGCTTCTATCTCCCCAGCATTGATGTATACACACCACTCCAGGTACCCGTGTTAATGCTGAGTTAACCTAGTCAATGTCAAAGACTGGTTCAGATATTCATCACTGATATTAACCGCATACACACACATACAAATTATTTGTATGCATGTACGGACATGAACACTTTACACATAAACATGACCCATATACACAACCAATACTCTGTCCTTGCACGCAGATATGACACACAACATATACGCACATATAAATATAATGACACATCCAAACACCAACACTACACGCGCTCAAATACCTTATGAACAGAACATTTTGTAAAAGTTGCTGTGGCATGATGTAAGGCTTATATTCTTATCTCTCTAACCAAACAGTGATGGTTGTAGCGGCATTAACGCATGAGGTGTGAGTGTGCATGCATTCATTCTGACTCTCGTGAGATGTCAGAGTGTTGGACACCGCTGAGCTTTTCTCAAATTTGCTCCAATGTCTAATCTCCCATTACAAGTCTGGACGTGCGCTTGTGTGTCTGGTTTGAAGTCTGCAATTCAAAACAGCATTCGTAGACTTAGATAGGATCCATGGACTTAATAAATAGGATGCATAGAGACAAGCGATGAGACGAGTAGGATGGTAGGGGTTTGTCGCTGCCGGTTTGCGAGTGGAGGGCTGACTGACGATGTCGTGTGCCCTACAGGTACTCGGACAACATGCACTCAGGGGGCATTGTCATGCTAGCTCAGTCCATCACAGCAGGTACCCGCCACAGCCCCCCGCCCCATGCCCCATGCAACATCATGTACCCGCGTCACCTGCCGTTAAGGTTTTTAATTGTTGTCTATAATTGCGTGTCATGCATAATCATATGCAAAACAATCTATAAGAAATCTGTTGTCGGTTTACCACACTTATCAAGAGGCCTAAGAATAGTCCAGCCCTGTGCGTGTGTAGGAAAGTGTTCTCACACTTACACATGCTCACACATGCTCTTACATACTCCCACACAATGCAACAACAGCAACAGCAGTCGCCATTTGCCACTAAGTGACGGCGATGTTATCACAGCGCATGTGTAGGGGAGTGAAATACGCAGTACGTACAGTTAACCGAGGACAACTGAGGACAAACCGGTGCGCGTATGCAACACGAGGGTTGCACGGACAAACCGCCAGTTAAGGGGCTTGAAGCAGGTGCAAACGGGGTCGACCGGTTGTGCACGTTGAGAACGGAGGTGTTGCCAGGGAGATGGGAGATGAGGGTTGATTGATGGGCCAACAGGCCCCGGCCTGGCGAGAGCTTAGAGACGCACGAGAGGTCTCGGATAATTAGCGGAGCGATATAAAGGCGTGTGCGGGAGCGGAGGGGGAGTTGTTGCCGGGGGCCGAGTGTGAAGACATCTTGCCGCTGCCGCTCCAGCCGTCAACGCAACCTCAACCCTCACGCCGTCGCCGGGTGGGTGGTGGCTGATCTCCCCGCCCGGGACAGACGGCTGAGCGGATCTGAGGGAGCGTAGGTGAGGGCAGCGCTGGAGTTGTAGAGACGCTGAGTGCGGAGACGCTGTGTGCGGAGTCGCTGTGTGCGGAGTCGCTGTGTGCGGAGTCGCTGTGTGCGGAGTCACATGAAGTGGCTCAGGCTCGCTGACAGGAGGTCACAGGACATACTCAGGTGTTATATGGGTTAACTGCCTGAGATGACTTGACAGATGCACTAATCGGTCCACTCGTTACTAAAATCAGACCGGATTTGTTTGATCAATTCCATGACTTTTGTAATCGATTATCAATTCCAGCATCTTTCGTGACGAGACACAGCGGTGCGGCGATGCTGCTGCGATGTCACTTGTGAGTCCGGCAAAGCCCCACCGAGTCTCAAGACTCTTGTTCAGAAGGCACTTGCTTGTGACCTGACGGAGTGCTGCTGGCTTGCAGGAATCCGCGACCTGTTTGTGGCGATGGACCGCACTTCCGCGAGCATCCCCCCTGTCATCTTGCTGCAGCTGCTGCACATGGCCTTCCCACAGTTCGCCGAGAAAGGAGAACACGGGCAGTACCTACAGCAGGTGCGGGCTGGCAGCCACGACGCACTTGGGCCGTCACTACGTGTCAATTCTCAAGGGCCATGGCATGAAATATTGAAATATTAGCCTACTACCTATGTTTTTAGTTGAAGGCAGTAACTTATTTTTTTGTTAAGTCACAGGGGAGCGGTGGTGCAGTGGTTCCCACACTGCGCTGTGAACACATCCACCTGACTTATATGTATATTAAACTTATTTCGTACAGTACGTAGCCAGCTGTACTAATCGGAGGTGCGGAATCTGAATCGGTGCTGACAATCGAATCACTAGCAGGAAGGTGGGGTCGTTCCATAAATTCACATACCCCGAAGCGCTTGTGCGCCCGCGTCTCCCGTCATCGTGCCCCATCGCATGTTCCTGGGCAGGACGCCAACGAGTGCTGGGTGCAGATCATGCGCATGCTGCAGCAAAAGCTACCGCCGCTGCAGAACTCGCCGAGTGCTGAGGTATGTACAGCGCAGCACCTCCATCTCCACCGCTCTCGCGTGTGCTGACGGATGGAGCGACAGAACGACGGACGGAGCGACAGACTGACAGATGGATGGGACTTTCCAGTGGATTGATGGACAGACTGACTTTTTGACAGACGGGATGGGGATGGACCAGATTCCAGTCCGACTATCAGATGAACGTATCAACTGGACAGACCAAAGGACGGGGCTGTGCCCGCTTGTATGTTCACGAGTTTACAGTGGACTGCATGTGGAGTGGGGAAGCCGTGGATGCGGGGCGTCTCGTAGACCTTGCGTGCACGCCGCTCTGTGTTGCAGGAGGAAGGAGCGGAGGGCGCGGCCTCCAGGAAGAACTTCATCGACGAGTACTTCGGAATCGAGTTTGAGACCGAGTATCCTGACCGAGCGGAGGCGTCGCACTCACAGAGGGGGCTCCCTGTGAGCGTCTTTCGCCTCGCCGGGGGGTTCCCAGGACCCCGTGAGACAAATACAAGGAGCCTGCGTTAGCAGTGGCGCACAAGCACGAAGTGAAAACAATACCGTGCTTAAGCCTTCAATGAACACTATGCATAGTGGGGGCATGTTTGGGACTTTGGCCCTTTGGAATAGAGGACAGGAAGTTTGACTTATGTTTGGGATGTCCCAGGCATATAAATGAGTAGCGAGTAGGTCACATGTTACTACATATCTCCTCAACCAATCGCTTTGGAACTCACCGATACTGGTTCCCCAGATCTTTGTACATTTTTTTTCAGGTAGGACCAGCACCAAATATTGGGAAAAAAAGCGTGAGTGTACACCATGAAACGTAACGTTGTGTAAGAGCGTGATTCACGCTTGAACTCGCAAGTGCATAGGCATGGCTGATGCGCATGTCTGTCTGCGCTAGTGCGCCAGCGTGTTTACATGGGCACGGCTTTTTAGTGGAGCTTCTCTGAATAGATCGGCTTGCATGCTTATTTAAAACATCGTGCCCTTCGGAAAACCAGGTGTGGTTTTGGTTTGGGTCATGTTGACTGTGCAGCACTTTCTGATTAGCATGCTGGTGGTGGAGGCTCTTGGGGATGGATGTGTACGAGCGGAAACGCCAGATACCAGCGGTGTACTCCTTAACACGCGCCGCGCCGACCAGGATGAAGTGCGCCGAGTCGGAGGAGGAGGAGGTCACCAAGGGACGGGAGACGCAGATGCAGCTCAGCTGCTTCATCAACCAGGACGTGAAATACCTGAGCACAGGGCTCCGGGGGGTACGTCTTGCACACGCACCGGCGCGCATGTGTAAGCGTGCAGACACGAGCCGAGACAGACTGCTGAGGGGACTGATACCCTGTCAGACACCCTTGCCAGCACCCGCTAAGATCCAAGTCCGGGATCCAGCCGCCTATTATTAGACCACGTTCTAAAGTTAAGTGAGTTTATGATATTCTTGGTTCTTTCGGAAAGATGAATCCCTGCAGTCACGAAAGCTTTAAATCGAAATATTTCGGGAAAGTCACAGTAGAAGGAAAAAAAAAAGCAATATTGTTTTATTTGTATTATTTTATTATTTCCCTTCTACGTTACTTTACCGAAAGAACCAAGAATATGAATCCCTGCAGTCACGAAAGCTTTAAATTGAGTTTATGATCTCAACAGTGTGCAGACATCGTTGCAGTGATCTACCCACTGCTGGATGAAGGGACTCCCCAATCGGTCGGCATCTCTCGCGGTGTCGCGGTGCCACAATCGTTCTAGCTCTGTGCACGTCATGATTTCACCGCTCTATTGCCATGCGATGAATGCTCTTCCCAAGGTCAGCACCAAATGTGAATAACAGCCATTCATGTGACTTGAGAGCAGTTCCGTGACATCATTTTCTGAAATTTCCTTTTTTCCCCTCGCCAAGCTCCTCCGCGGGTCGTTCTTGTGAACAGCTCACACCTGAATGTTTCTGGCCTGCGTCAACAAATAAAAACAACAAACAATATCTGCCATCATGACAGCCACTTTTGACTTTAAACTTGCCTGACTGAACGAAGTCATATTCTTTGGTTCTTTCGGTAAAGTCATGTAGATAGAATAATAATAAAGAAAGTGATTAAAAATAAAACAAATATTTAAAAAATACACTAATGTACGACTGTAGCTTGGTTCTTAATTGGAGTGAGTGTACTGGAAATCTATAATGTAGATTGTAGCCTGGCTATTAAGTTTGGTGAGTGTACTAGTCATCTATATAGTCTATAATATTTTCCTGATGACGACCGCTTGTGTTGTGATCGAAAAGTCGTGTTTTTTTAAATGAAAGAACCAACAATAAGTCTACATTATAGACTGCCAGTACGGTCACATAGATTAATAATCAGGCTATAGTCTACATTATAGACTGCCAGTACACTCAACTCCGATTAATAACCAGGCTACCGTCTACATTATAGACTGCCAGTACAATCTGATTAAGAACCAGACTACAGTCTACATTATAGACTGCCAGTACACTCACTTCGATTAAGAACCAGGCTACAGTCTACATTATAGATTGCCAGTACACTCACTCCGATTAAGAACCAGACTACAGTCTACATTAGTGTTTTTATTATTTTTATTTTTGTAGAATTTTTAATTAACTTTTTAATTATTGTTTTTCTTTACCGAAAGAACCAAAGAATATGACAGCCACTGTTAGGTGGTGTGGGGAGAGTCCTCCATCAGGAGCACTTGCCCACGCTGCTTAGAGCCGCCTGCTTGACTTATGCTTTTGTCTTTGTTTTAGCGTCTCCAAGAAGAAATTACGAAGCGGTCGGCCACGCTGAACAGAGACGCACTGTACATTAAATCTGTGGGTACCATCGCACAATTTGCCGACAGGCGCTTGAATGCAGTGGCGCACACGTGACTTGGGATTAAAACTGTTTCTGTCACTTTCTCATGGCCTGTTGGCACAACTTCTCGCAGTCAGACCATGTGTGTGCGTGTGTGCGACGTCGCAGTCAAAAGTCAACCGCCTTCCAGCCTACCTCACCGTGCAGATGGTCCGCTTTTTCTACAAGGAGAAGGAGTCCGTCAATGCCAAAATCCTGAAGGCAAGTCTTGTTCACACCTGATCATACCTGGGCATACCTGGTCACAACCGAAATAAATCTTGCGCATCTGTGTCCACGCTCAAGTGTGTATGTCTGTGGTGTGTGCACGTCTGCCTGTGTTGTGCATGCGTCTGCCTGCGCGTATATGTGTGTGCGCGCGCGCATACGTAAGTGTGTGAGCATACGTGCATGTGCAGGACGTGAAGTTCCCGCTGATTTTGGACGTATTTGAGCTCTGCACGGCGTCGCTGCAGGAGAAGATGATGCCTGTGCGGGTCCTCTTCAAGGAGATGGAGGACCGCAAGGTAGAGCAGCAGCAACAGCAGCAGGTGAGCACTGGGATTCAGAGTACTCTATCTTACTTGAACTCCCCAAACAATATTTGAGAACCCCTGGACCTAACCGTAAACATAACCCTCCTATTTATATCCTGGAGTCCAAATAATATCAAGTTTTCTGACCCCGGGGTTCAAAACAATATCTCACCGATGGATGCTCCAACCACCGATGGGTGGTAAATGACCTTTTGTGTGACCTCTCCCGGGCAGGCCAAGGGCGCCGTGTCCAAGGAAACGGACAACAAAGTGAAACTGGAGCCCTACTCATTCCCTGACGGTGAGAGATCACTCGGCTCTTCATTCATGCCATTGGTTGGTTACGCCACAAGGGAGGCTTAGCACCAGGGGAGTAACGCTGCATTGATTACAGTGAGGCATAGCGTGCAGAAGGACCATTGCTCGACATGTCGCCTGTCATCCATTTCCTGTAAAGGCACTGTTATTGATGAATGTGTTGAGTTATTGCTATTTGTGCTTATTCACCATTACCACAAATAAACGTGTTTATATTAATTACAGTGGATGTTTATGCTCACACGGCATGCTCTGAATTGTGCGCTAAACAGTATTTTGCGTATTAATTTGTGTGGGTTGTATGTAAATGAGATTGCAAATTATTCATCCTCCCAACACATTTGTGAGAGTGATGGTGATTTGGGGGTCACAATTCTCTACGAGAATATCCTTTGTCTGGTATGCCTGGCGTGCTTCCTTTGGCCCAGTTTCATCCGTCTTGGTTTTCTCAAGTAGCTGGAAGATAACATTTGCATGTAATGTATAATGTTTTGTTGCATACGCTGTAATGAATTCACCTCCACGTATGCTTTTACACTTGCATCATAGAGCTTATGAATCAATTTTAATCAACAAATTGTTTGATTGCTTTGCAATTTAAACTCTGCAGTTTCACGAAAACCCCACATCCACGAAAGAGTCTGTGCGCCACAACGGCTAAAAAAAGATTTGAATGTGAAATCAAATCATGACCCTGAATTGTGCCGACTCATTGATTCGTGGGAGGCAGGATCAATCATTGAGAGTCTACTCAGGTGCCCGGTGACATTTCCCGCTCGGGCTGCTGATAGACTGACGCCTGATGTAGCCCACCCTTTGAGCGCAGTGAAGGCAGCAGCAGCAGCAATCCTATCGCTGTCCCTGTCACATGTTCCCCGCGGCCCGGGCGAAAGCACCTTCGAATCGTGACTGTTGACCCAGCTAATTGCCGGCCCACGCAGACATTAATGAGTTCACTTTCACCGCTGATCCGTCTCGTTGGTAAGTTGTAATTAAAATTGGTTCAGACACCCGGTACCACTGGGAGCTGATGACCTTTTCATGTTCACCCCCACCCCTCTCGCCCGCTGCCATCTTACCCTTTCCCTGCCCAAACAGACGTGGGCTCCAACAACTCTGGGTACTACGAGCTATCGGCCGTGCTCACCCACCAGGGTCGCTCGAGCTCCTCGGGGCACTACGTGGCCTGGGTCCGCCGGAAAGAGGGTACACATTTGCACACGCATGTACACATACATGAACTCTGTGCAGACACACGCACCATTGTATACACACAATGACAAAGATCCCTCGCACTGTTGGGCCAAGTGCTGTTACCGAGCACCTACGAAGGCCAACGTGGCATGCGCCGGGGGTGGTGTGGCCAGCACCATGCCTGGCCGCATTTATCTCCCCATTGTTGATGTTTTTACACTGCACTGGGTACTCATTTACGGCTGAATCGACCTAGGGAGGCATTGGATCAGTTTAGATAATAGCACTGGCGCTAGCCATAAGCGGGAATTGAATTCGGCTCGACGAGTTTGCAGCTCAGTGCGCGAATGACTGCACCACCGCTCCCGCACTCGACACACGCACATGCACACGCACATGCACACGCATCACTACTGTGTGGGCATGCATGGTACTGGACATCTGTGAAAAAAAGCATTGGAGCTAATCGGATTCCTCCAGGATAAATATTCTGTTTTGGTTAGTAGTGCAATGTGCTAACCACCAAGCTACCACCCCCTACTGCATATGCACACGTACGGTGTATACACCCACATCTGGCAACCCGTTGTCAATGCACTGTTGGTTGGGGCCTCTCTGTGCCGTGTCAGTCATGGGGGGCTGACTACACCTCACACAGCAAGGGGCAGCCTTCATCTAGCAGTGACTTGACAGAGGGGCTGAAATCATTACCTAATTATCCGCATCATAAACGGATAATCTGCACGAGCACCGTTTGATCACAGAACTTCTTGGCCGCTCTACCAACTTCACTGGATAAGACGTCATTTGAAAGTTTACGATGTGTAGATTACGTGACAATGAGGTTGAAATTAAAGATGTTGACCTTTTGACTTGTTCTGTGCTCTCTGTGCCACCCGGCAGATGAGTGGGTGAAGTGTGACGATGACAGGGTGAGCGTGGTGCACTCGGAGGAGATCCTCAAGCTGTCGGGCGGCGGGGACTGGCACATCGCCTACGTGCTGCTCTACAGCCCCCGACGCCTCGAGGCGTTCACCTTGTCCCCCCAGCACCAGTGAGACCTCTACGGAAGGGAGGGGAGTGGGTGGGCACGGGGGCGGGAGGGGGGGCTCGGATTGGCGATGTGAACGCCACGAGCTGCCGTCGACGTTGATTCTGAGGTTGAGTAAATACGAGCGTATCGAGGGGCATCACAAAATTTGGGGCGGTGGGGTGGGGGGGGGGCACCCATGCACCTATGCACCCATGCACCCTCCGTGTAAAACTGCCCGAGTGGGAGCAGAGATTTGATATTGCGAGGGTTCGACCGTGCAACAAGTGACTGTGGAGTCTGGCAAAAGGCAGAAAGTGATGGCAAGGTCGGCGACCTTTTCGGCTTGACCCCGAGTGCCTCCCCAGCCACTCCGTGGAGCTGCTTCTCGATAGGGGAGGGGGGCACAAAGGGAGGGGTAATCTGCTTTTTTATTTCTGGGGGGCGGGAGCACAGACCCCACATTCCAGATGGGAGGGGGAACGTGGGAGTTTAAAACCGCGGGTTCACCCGGGGAGTGGTGGCGGCAACAGCAGCAGCACCTCGTGTGTTGAGATTGGCTCGGTCGTGACTCCGAGCTGCTGCTGCTGCGCGATGGCGGTTGGCCCCGTCGCTCCCGGCCGTGAGTGCGCATGGTGTAGAGGGCCGTTCTCTCACAACGCGTCTGGTCGGGGGGCCGGTCCACTTCCTCTGCCGAAACGAAACGCCACAGAGTCGCGTCGTCCCAGCCCCCCCGAATGCACGCGCGTGACGGTTGGCGCCGCACGCCCGTGCTCGTGTGAGGTGAATCTCGACTTGGCGGTCGGCTCTGAGCGTCCGCGGTGTTTTCCTGCTTGCGGACACGGGCTGCCAATAAATGTCTACATCGCTGATGTGTGCCCAGCGAGCCGTGCGTCCGTTTAAACCGTGCGTCCCTCGATGAGCTTGTGCGTGTTTTGCCGCACTGCCGCGGCCTCCGCTTGTCTGTCTGCTCCGTCCTTCGGCGTAGGACGCATCATGGGAGACGGGGGCTGTCGTTGTGTCGATACCTCCGTGAGATGCGCGAGGCCCTTGCGTGTGCCCCCTTTGGCCCGGCACAAGATGTCCCATGCCGCGTCGTTTGTGTGACGATGAGTGGAGCGAGTAGCAAAGCTTCTTGCCACCTGTCATTCACCGTTTGTCTGATTTTACCCAGAGTCCTTCAGGTCCATTCAACATTCTCTCTGGACTCTGCCCTGGTCCCACTGTGGAATCTTTTTCCAACTAGCGAGCGTGAATAATCAGTAAATTAAAACTGCAATGTATTTTCCGCCAAAGAATGCGTGAATAATTTAATATCCTCAGTATCGATTGTGCGGCAGTAAATTCGGCAGCTTCGATTTGGCGCTGAGGAGGGGGAGGAATTGGTTCCTGGTAATGTGCCCACGTCGGTGCCTGGGACTCCGAGCCAACGGCGTTGTTGGTGCTGGCGACCGTGATGTGGGGGATTGGTGGGTGCAGGAAGCGAATGAGATGGCAGTTGAATGAGTTGCGGGTGGTGACATGGACGTGGCAAGAAACTCTCGTGTCATCTCATCACTGATGGAGGCTGCCGGTCGATGCCACGTCCAGTATTGGGTACGGGGCTCCTGTGGCGTGAGGAAGCGACGTCCACCACAACGCGCTTGGAGCCACACCTGGCCTGCATGGGGGGTTATCGGGCGGTTCGCCCGTAACGGGCTCCTGGCCGAACAGCGTCGGGGAAAATCAACGTAAGCACGCCTCTCGCTTGGCGCCTAACGAAGCGCGCGGGCGCCGCACGCAGCGGAATGGGTGCCCTCACGAGCCGACGAGACGCGGCTCCTTGGGGGGGGGGGCGGCACGGGTAGCTGCGGGGTCTTGGTGAGTAGACCGTGTTGGGGGTGTAATTACCGGCGGGGGGGGGGGGGCGTCGTGCGATGGCGACCTTGCGAGCACGTTTCGACGTCGCGTCGCGCGGAACCCCGTGTCTGGAAACGTCTGGCGTCGATTAAATCCGTTCTTTCACTAAAATTACCACAAACACGACTCCTAACTCTCCCCACGGCTCCCTCACTGCTGCTCGGCTCTCTCCCCGCGGCGCCCCTCGTCTCCCTTCCACGAGAGGCGGCGGGGATCAGGAGCCAGAGAAGGGGGGTGCACAGGCGGCATCGCTTGAAGAGGGACGAAGAAGACCCTGCGAGTTCTGGGAAAGGTCATCGTCATTATCATCATTGGGGTTATCGTTAGTTCACTTTCTGAAGAAGCTCCCAACAACCAGCGAGACACGGCTGATGTGGTCATGGGTCCTTCTCTAACGCGGGCGTAGCAGCGAACATATTCGTAGGAACAGGTGTTGCGCCAAGCTTCCCAGTGCTGACATTCATAGGGAATTCCTCCATTGGGATTACACGCAGCAGCAACAGCAGCAGCATTGCGTCCTGAAAAAACTTAGCAGGACCCTCCTGAAAAAGTATTTTGAGACTCGGGCTTTCAACGCGGGTGATGATAAATAAACGAATTTTCGTGAGAGACGCGAGTGGTGCTGTGTCCATCTCTTGACTGCGTCTCGGTGCATTGCACCACAACCAAGCTGCAGGGTGCGGACGACTCACAAACCAGACCCCGAATGGTGCGGGAACAGTAAATGGTCAACATTGTGACATCATCGTTCAAGTGTAACGAACACGCAAATGTAAGGCAGAACAAAATACAGAAAATTACTAAATATAGTCAATTAAACACATTCCTGCAGAGGGAGCTGGTAGGAACGTTGGGTTGCTCGGTCAATGGCCAGGGTCAACGGCGGCGTGGTGTATTCCGCAAATATGTCCGACTGAGGGCGGGCACAGGCCGGCGTGAGTAGGTTAAACGTTGAGTTTTATAAGGGCACCACGAGGTGACCAGCCTCTCCCCACCCAGCCCCACCCCTCCCACGCAGCCCCACCCCACCCTCCCCTCTCCACCCAGCCCCTCCCATTTTTGGATGCACGACGGACGGACGGACATAATAATCGCCTGTGGGCTGGTGGAACCAGGTGGTTCCTACCAGTATGAAACGTGCTTCACGTGACTTAGAAGAACAAGGGAGAAATCAATCGGCAGCGCTGCAAATCCCTGCTCACGCCACTGCTAGCCGCTAGGGAGAGCCCGAGATGGCCCCGGCACAGGAGGGTATCGTGAAAAGTTTGAGTCGTGTCACCGTTCAAGCCACGTGAGAGTCGTGTCGAACTCGGCGAGAAGCGAATCCACTGGGGCCGGGCAAGACGGAGGGCGTCAGCAGTCCACAGTGGTGGGAGCATAATTAGAATCAAGCGAAACAAGATGAACGAGATTCTGTGGAGGTCCTTGCAAAGGCTTAAACCCCCGCCTCTTCCCCCCTCCCATGGGATGGGGGACCCTCTATCGGCCGCGTGTGGTGAGACCTCTCGGGGGGAGAGGGGGGGGCAAGTCGCTACGATTTGTTACCCAGCGAGGCGCTCCCCGCCACGTGGCGCTTGATCGATGCGTCTCATTTACATGGCGCACAGCGCCGCGTTTTATTGCCCGTGTCAACTGTTTGTGGCATCGCCGACATTTGTACAAATGCTTGGCCGGCGCGGTCAGCGATGGAGATAGAGTGGAAGGCCGACAATACGAGATGATGGTGAGGGGATGATAGCCCATTAGTCAGCACGATGTCCGACGTTTCGCTCTGCGATAGAACCCAAAAGCGTTTCGGAGTGCTATCATTTTGTATTCTACGAATTGCGTTGGGAGCCTTTGCATAGAAAACTAAAAATCAGTTTCCGAAGAGGTTTGGAGAGCTGCACGTGGGGCGAAACGATAACAACGGAGAGCCACCACAGCACGACCACGAACCACCCGAACCCACGCGGTGGACAGGAGGTGACGATGCTGTGGCTGCTGCATCTAATGGTGGAGGCCACCGATGATGACAATGGCAGCTCTGATGACGAGCCTCTTTCGTTTGGCATTTTAAAGCTACGGAGTGAGTTTATAACCGCGTGTTAAATCGGGAAAGCCATCCGATGGCATCTTGAGTCGAATTTCATATTCTGCATTCAAATCTTGAGATCTTGGTAGTGCTGGCGCTGTGTCGGCCATGATAGCAACGAGCCTCAATCCTCGGTTTTCAGGAGGGTCCCTGCTTCGTTGGGATGCTTGAGAACTCGGAGAAAATCACCACACACGAGGGGCGACACTCAGCACTGCCGCCTCCTCGCCACACCATGCAGCCACCGCACGCCTCCACACCTGCCCACCGCACATCTCCCGAGACACGGGGACGCGAGACCCGCAGCTCTCGGGGACGGAATTAACGGCGCCGCTCCGCTAATTCGCGGCGCTAAGCCGAAGCTCACGAATTCCGAGGCTCCGAGCCGAGCTAATCGCTGGAGACGGAGCATGGCGGAGGGGTGTTTACACGCACCGCCTCGCCTTACCTGGGGTCGAACTCTTGCTTCTGACTCGGAGGTTCGCTCGTTGGGGAGACCCAGCCGTGTGCTCAAAGCGGTTCCTCCACAGTGTGAGCCGGTGAGCGACTTCGCATCTCGGACCCGCACGTGTTCGTGATGACGGGGGTGGCAGTGGCGAATCCCTGATGATGATGACAAAGAAGAGGAGCGGGTGGTGGTGGTGGTGGCAAGTGGTGGTGGTGGCAAGTGGTGGCAAGTGGTGGTGGTGGTCCCCACGAAAGCCGAGCGCGGATTCCACTCTGACCGCTGCGACGTAAACACAGGGGTGAGGAGGTGAGGGAGGCAAGGGGGGGTGAGGAGGTGAGGGGGTGAGGAGGCAAGGGGGTGAGGGGGTGAGGGAGGCAAGGGGGTGAGGAGGCAAGGGGGTGAGGGGGTGAGGAGGCAAGGGGGTGAGGGGGTGAGGGAGGCAAGGGGGTGAGGGGGTGAGGAGGCAAGGGGGTGAGGGGGTGAGGGAGGCAAGGGGGTGAGGGGGTGAGGGAGGCAAGGGGGTGAGGAGGTGAGGGAGGCAAGGGGGTGAGGAGGTGAGGGAGGCAAGGGGGTGAGGGGGTGAGGGAGGCAAGGGGGTGATGGAGATGGTGAGGGAGGCAAGGGGGTGATGGAGATGGTGAGGGAGGTGAGGGCATGATTGAGGGCGGAGGGGAGGTGATGTATGGGGGGGGTCGGGCTTCGTCCTCGGGAGTTGAGAGTCGTTTGTATAATTTGCGACTTCAGGAGCCGTTGGTTCAGGACGGACGCCGTGACTCCCCGTGACCCCCATAACTCCCCGTGCCTCTCCGTGTCTCCTGTTGCCCTCTCACCCCCGTGACGTCCGTGCGAAGGGGGGGGGGGGTGTTTGGGCAGCCTCTGCCCCCCCCCGCCTCCCTCTGGCACCATCGCCAATCTCTCCCTCAACCCCCGCACGCTGCACGAGACATCATTCTCTCCCCGTCATGAGCGACTAACCTCATCCCGAACAAGCGATGGACCTTCCTTTCTCGCTCCCCTCCCTCCCTTCCCCGCCTCCCACCAGAGCGTGAGGGGTGAGGTGATGATGGAGGTGGCAATGATGGTGATGGCAGCGATTGTAAACAAAAGTGTCGGCACGTGGTGATGGAGGGTGGAGCGATGCTAATGCAGGTGGCGGTGATGATTGGGACGACGGTGATAATGGTGGTGGCAGCGGTAAACCTCTGCTGGTGATCAAAATGAATATAAATAGGTGGTAGTGGTGGTGGACCCAAGTTGGTATTTTATTAATATTCAAGAGACAACACATGGCATGTTTGGTTGTAGGGCCCTGTTTTAAAGACTTGAAATATGGCAACAGCTCCCCCCACCATCACCACCATCGCTCCCTGAGGTGGTGGAGGGGCTAAGGCGACGAGGCGAGGGTGGTGACGTTGCCTCTCATTGCGATGTGGCCAGGTGATAATGCTGCTGTTTGAACACGGCCATTGTTAATCTCTCATCATCAGTGTTCAGAGCTCTCGGTTCACAATCGGAGGTCGCTTGTTCAATTCTGCTATCAAGCTCGCCAGTATGTGTCATGACCATCGTCACTTATCATCGTCATCACCACACTGATTCATCATTATGAATCATCAATCATTTTAAATTATTATCAGTCATCGGCATCACTTATCATCATCCCACCGTGGTCGATGTAACGAAGTTGGCGCTGCCTGCATTTTGTCCTGGCTCTCACCTCTGGCTCAGATCCCTCAAGCGGTCAATGAGCTCAGCACCCACGTGGAGTGCAGGGAGGGGTCACGGACTTGACTCGTGTCGCGGGGTCAAAGGTCACGTCACCCCGGACAGCAGTGACCCCCGCGGGGCCTCGGGGTGGGAGGAAAGTGAAGTCGAGGGACGGGGGTGGGGGTGGCCAGGGTCGGTCTCCCGGGGGCTCGAGAGCGATCGATGCCATCGAGCAGATGAGCGGAGCAGCGGGGAATGACGAAATACGACTAAGGGACTCCCCCCCCCCCCACACACAGATACAGATGTACAGATAAAGATCCCCTGTATAGCCTTAACAGACTATTGGGGGAAGGCCAGCACCACGCCCGACCGTCTTTGTCTCCCAAGTGGCGATGTTTACATGCCACACCAGGTACTCATTTGAGGCTGAGTCGATCTAGAGGAAGTTCGGGACTGGTTAAGATAATCGCCACTGGTGCGAAACGTCATTTGGCATCGAACTCAGGTCGCCGAGTTTGTAGCGCAGTTTGCTAACCGCTACACGACCACTCCACCAACACGCAGACGCACGCACACACACACACGTATGCACACACACACACTTATGCAAACACACACGCGTGTGTGTGTCTATGCGCACACACGTAATGCTTGTGATGTATTTTTCCGGAAAGGTGAAGGTGTTAATCTGATGCGACGCTGTTTGCCATTGCCCCCCCCCCATGCCATCCCCGCCCCCCTCTCTCAATGCCATTAATCACGCAGCCTGTTTTCAGATGCGACTGAAGCATATTTATTCACAGATAGGCTCTTACCAATTTCCCCCTTAATGAGCAGCTTAATTAATGAGCGCGGCTCGAAACACCCCGGAGCCGACGTGTTAAACAAACCCATTCATTCGCGAGACACGTGGAGCCCCCACCCCTCGTCACCCCACCCCTCGTCACCCCCCCCTCGTCACCCCCCCCCCTCGTCACCCCCCCCTCGTCACCCCGCCTCGTCACCCCCCCCCCCTCGTCACCCCCCCCCCCTCGTCACCCCCCTTCGTCACCCCCCCTCGTCACCCCCCCCTCGTCACCCCCCCCTCGTCACCCCCCCTCGTCACCCCCCCCCCCCTCGTCACCCCCCCCCTTGTCACCCCCCCCCTTGTCACCCCCCCCATCGTCACCCCCCCCGTGCCCCCCTCACGTCATGCTCCCCCTCCCCCACCGTCGGCTGTTGCTCTATTATTTATATATTTTATTAGATTCTAAGGTCACGCTCCAAACCGAGAGTCGGGGACTGTGCGAGAGTGGCGGCGGACATTGATAACGCCGCTGCTGCTGCTGATTATCATCATTTCGCTGCTTGTGTTGATTACAATGCTGCTGTTGGTGATTATGATAATTGTTGATGATGGTGGTGCTGATTGTGATAATGGGGCTCTGTGCCAGCCTATGGGTCTGTATGCAAGGGTATGCGCGTGTGATTGGATCTCTACTGATTCGTCGTGTGGCTAATGCTGGTGTAGAGCAACAGCTGTGATGTTGCGTCGAGCTGGTTGAGGATCGAGACGATTGCGGCGTCAGGAGTAGCCGAGTGGGCGTCACCACCATCGCTCTGACGATGATGATTCCCCCTTCGTGGCTGCGTTTGAAGCTCCGCGCTTCTCCTCTGGTTCGTGACCACAGTCTCCGCACGCTCCCGGCGGGGTTTTAACTTCCCATTTGTGCATCGTCATTAAGTGTCCACGTCTGCAGCTGCCATGGTTTGTATGGATGCAGTTTCGGCTTGTGGTCCACAAGCTACCGCTGCTGCTGCTGCTTCTGCTGATGAGAAAGATTCTGCTGTGACTGCTCTTGCTGGTGCTGCTCATCATGAAGTTGCTTCTCTCCGGCCGCTGTTGGAGGTTGCATTGTCGCTGCATCTATTGCTCTCTGCACTCACTCGTCTTTACTTCTCTGCACTGCAGGGGTGACATGGTCCGGAACGTCAATGATGTGCATGTCGAGTTCTCGATATAGCTCCCGTGGAGGGGGTGGGAGTGGTATGGAGACGACGTGCATCTATCCTGGCACACGCCTGGCAATGACGACCATGGGGTCTCAGGGCCCCCTCCAAAGCTGCGACCTGAAGAGAGGTAAGTGGGGGTGGAAAGGGGAATGGGATGAAGTGTGAACCCCCCCGCCCACCTGCCCGGATGACCCCTGCAGATTGGACATGGGGACACGGACTCCCATCGCGACCCACAGGTGGTGGCGGGGGAGGGCTCTGTGAAGGAGAGAGCGAGACGCGCTCTGCAACCATGAGCAAGGTTAGGGAGAAGGCAGCCCCCCATCTCCCCCTCCCTGATCACGCATAACCACAGCGAGTGCTATGGCGCTCCTCACTCCCAGCCCCTCCCGCCATGCCACAAATCCAGCTCTTCCATCTCGCTCCCTCCTCCTTCGCATCCCTGCATCCCATCGAGCATCGTCACAGCAAGAAGGCCCGCTCCCAGTCCCGATCAATCCCTCCGACTCCTCAGTATCTCAGCCCTCCCCTCCTCCCCATCCATTCCTCCATTCCCATCCCACCTCATTCCCTCCATCCCCTCCCTCGCTCATTATGTCTTCCTCCCTCCCCACCTCGCACCCACTCACACAACTGAACAATACCTAAACCCCCAACCCTCACCCCCACTCCTCCCGTACCCTTCCAAGACAGAGAGGCGTTTCGTTAATTGACAAGTAATTTATCGCAGCCGTCACGCGCGTCAGCGTGAGCACTCATTCTGCTCCTCGATCGCATCCGCGTGTCAGGGGGAGCCACGCGGACGGCGCGAGGAGGGAGCTGCCGCGGATTTCCAATCTGTGCCCGGCGGAAGCATTAACATGCACGCGTGGGCCCCGTGCGCGCACACGTACACACGTGTACCTACACCCACGTACACACGTGTACCTACACTCACGTACGCACGTGTACCAACACCCACGTACGCACGTGTACCTACACCCACGTACGCACGTGTACCTACACCCACGTACGCACGTGTACCTACACCCACGTACGCACGTGTACCTACACCCACGTACGCACGTGTACCTACACCCACGTACGCACGTGTACCTACACCCACGTACGCACGTGTACCTACACCCACGTACGCACGTGTACCTACACCCACGTACGCACGTGTACCTACACTCACGTACGCACGTGTACCTACACCCACGTACGCACGTGTACCTACACTCACGTACGCACGTGTACCTACACCCACGTACGCACGTGTACCTACACTCACGTACGCACGTGTACCTACACCCACGTACGCACGTGTACCTACACTCACGTACGCACGTGTACCTACACCCATGTACACACGTGTACCTACACTCACGTACGCACGTGTACCTACACCCATGTACACACGTGTACCTACACCCACAAAGATATGCGCATACACAAGACCCCCCCGTATATGTTTAACAGACTTACGGCAAGTGCTGTTGTCGAGTTCATTTAAAGGTCAACACGATGCACAAGAGAGGGGTGGTGTGGTTGTCTCCCCAGCGGCTGTGTTTACACACCGCCGCACACCAGGTAATCATTCAAGGTCGACCAATGGGAGGTCACTGATGTTGGCAGTGAGCGGGAATCGAACTCGGGTCGCCGGATTCGAAGCGCGGTAGCATACATATACGCACAGCTACACACGTACACACATTTACACGCACGCACACAGGCTCGCATCTCACGACGCAATCTCCAACGCACGTGTTTAGATGGATTTACTTTAAATCCCTGATGCCAGAAACCAGATGGAATCCGCCGAGTCAAAACAGGCGCGTTATAAAGCAGTGAGCGCAGCCGAGTGTACACGGGGCATTATGCAATTACATAGCCATCAATAATTAATCTCCATTCGTCGGGAATTACACTGAGGCGGAAATAACAGCGGAGGGATCGGGCAACAGTCGCGAATGAGAGACATCGCAGTCGTTATCAGGAGAGGCAGTGGCGCTTGGGAAGGGCACGCCACGTGAAGCCAAACGCTCAATGGGATTCGCGGTTAAACATCCAATAGAGCAAGACCCTCCTGCAGCAGCCTTGAGACTCAGCGCGGGCCCGTGTGTGCCCGCACGTGTCGCGATGTCACCGATGATCCCACGTGGCCCCGTGTCCTGGCGTCCCCACGTGCTCCTCGCTCGCAATGGTCCTCGGCTCCCCAACTTCGGTTATCCCCCCCCCACCTCGTGACCCCCACCTCCTCCCTGATGGTGCCGAGGCGGTGCGGGGGGTCCTTGTGACGATCCTTGGATGCTCGCGGCTGCGTGAAAACTCTAATTTAAATGTCCCACACATATCTCCCGCACCATCATCCCCACCTCCACCTTCTCTTCGTCGTCTTGTGATGGGGACGCGGTGGGGGGGAACGAACACCGCGGCCCCCATCGCCGCCTGCGCGACCCTGATAGCGGCGCGTGGACACGGGGCTCCCAGCTGGCCCCCAACCCCGACCACCTCCCTCCCCCCCGCAGGGCTTCGTGGTAACCACGGGGCGCGGTCTGCTCCACCCGCGGTGCCCGCGCACGCGGCGCGGGGTGGGTTGGAGTCCCGCCTCTGGCTCCAGTTCTCGGGCTTTTGGTCGGAGACTCATTTCAGCCGGAAGAGTCCAGAACACCGTTCCGGAAATGATTTTGCCACCCAGCCACACCCGTCTAATATTAGCGTTCTTACTCATTTCTATTTTTATAAACCCGTTCATAGCATTGGAGTATGCATAGCAGTAGAGTATTAGAGTAGTATGATGGAATGTTGAATTTCTTTGGCACCGTACGTAGTCAACCGTGCTAATCGGAGGTGCGGGGGAAGCACAACAAACAACACAAAAATCAGTTCTAAATAAATTAGTTGTCAATCAATATTTAAAAGTGCATAGCTCCAGTGACTTCCGAATGTCGGAAGGGAGAGCATTCCAGACGGCCGCCGAAGCAGCGCATCTGAAAGTGCGCGATGCGGTGACCGTCGTCTTTGTTCGACGGTGAGCCAGAAGCCGCTGCTACGAGGACGACGACCGCAGTTTGCGTGATGATGGTTTATGCTACTTGACGAGATCAGCAAGTTAAATTTTTATTTAAAGCTTTCGTGACTGCAGGGATTCATCTTCTTGGTTCTTTCGGTAAAGTCATGTAGAAGGGAAGTAATAAAATAATATAAATAAAACATAATAAAATTATTCTCACAAATAATTTTATTTTATTATGTTTTATTTTTATTATTTTATTACTTCCCTTCTACGTGACTTTACCGAAAGAACCAAGAAGAGATCAGCAAGGTGCATTGGTGGCAAACACCTTGTGCGGAATGAGGGCGACCTTATAATGTATTCGTTTGACAACCGGAAGCCAATGCAGCTCAGCGACAACTGGACGGATACAGTCGGATCTTGCAGTACCCGTCACGACACGTGCCGAATCATGTTGTCCACGCTACAGCTTGGTCATGTTTTTGCCAGACGTCTCGTAGAGTAGTGAGTTGCAATAATCGAGCCTTGTTGATATGTCACAACTCAATTGTGGTCAAATGTGTCGTAGAGCCCTGATATTAAAATTATAGGACCTGACTACAGTTTGCAAGTGGTAATCAAACGACACAATCTGGTCGAGTATGGTGCCGAGGCTCTTTAGTTGAGTAGAAAACATGACTCATCGAGTCTGCGAGCGCCACGCCTGATTCTCCCACAAATGTGCTTTGGAGGAATCTAGGGCACGGCATTATGGGTTCAGTGTGGATAAGCGTGCTTTGACACGCTCGCGTTAGCGACTTACGCCGATCGCCCCGACTCTGAGCCGGTCTGGCAGGGGTTAGGGGTCGTGGTAGGGGCGATGGCTGTGGTTTGTGTTACAGTATGTACAATAGGGTCGGACTTAGAATTAGGCTCAAGGTTCAGGTCAGAGTCAGTGCCATAGTGTGGCTCAAGTTCAGGGTTATGATTGAGTTTATAATTGATGTCACGCTCTCTTTCTTCCTTTCTCTGCTCGTGAATGCGAGTTCGCTCTGCGCCCGCAATGACTCGAGGTGTCTGTGATTGGCGTGGGGGGCGAGGGATGGGGGATAAAGGCCCAGGGGTCAGCGCGAGGCTGAGATTTGTCGATTCGAGTCGCGTGAGACGACGTCTATGTGGTTCTGAACCCCGCGCAGTGAAGGACTCGGCAAAACCAGTCGTATGTCATTGGTTCGCGTGAGCCCTACCGCCACTAGATGTCGCACAATAGACACAAATACAAGTTTGAGGTCGACCGAGGTCCCGGAAAGGTTCTAATAAGAGCACTCGCTACTGTTAGCCGCGGCTGGGAATCGAACTCTGATTAATGTGGTTGGTAGCGAAGTGCGCTAACCACTGCGCCACCGTTCCCTCCACACACGCTCAATCTGTCATGGGATCACAATCTCAGCGCTGCAAGCCGCTGTGTGTGAGCCAGCTGACTCCCTCCCCCTTCCCTCCCCGCTCTCCTCCCCCTCCCCCCTCTCCGTCACGTCCCCTCTCCGTCACGTCCCCTCTTCGTTCTGTGGCCCCACACCTCGCGTCTCCCGTGGCCCCGTGTCTCCGTGTTGCCTCCCGTGGCCCCGTGTCTTCGTGTTGCCTCGCCTCCACCGTCTCCCGCGTCTCCATCGTCCCCACGTTCCGTGTACCCCCGTGAGTCCCAGCGAACTCCATTAAGCCCCCATGAGTCCGTGCGAATCCCTGCACAGTGGCAGTGCAGATGAATTCTTGAATGCATCTGTGCTGAGCTCTGAGTGTCACCCCATCGTTTACGTGGTGGGTTTTCTTCAGGCTCTCCATTGTCGCGCCACCCCTGCACGAAGTCAAACGCTGATAAATAATGAATTTCATGGCTTTACAACCCAATGTAGCAGGACCCTCCTAGAACAGAGCTTGGCATCGTGATATCCATCTCGAAGCCAGCTCAAGCCTTCCGTAAATCATGTAACTTCTGTGTGACTCCACCCACTCTGAACCCCGCCCCCTGTGAAAACACACGCTGATCCTCCATGCAGCTCCGCTATTCTCTCGTCTCCCTTTCGTCCGTCCCCTCTCATCATCACCCTCTCAGCCTCGATATCTTGGCCCAGTCGGAGTCCCGTCTCCCCCTTTCTGCCCGGTGCACCCCCCCTTCTCCTCTCTCCCTGCTGCTCATCTTGAGGCGCGCACTCCGCTTTGTCCGTCTTGAGGACTTCCGTCCCGGCCTCCATTCCCTCTCCCGTCCCTTCCTTTCTCTCTTCACACTCAGGACAGCCTTGACACCCCTCCCCGTGGTGGGGGAGCCACGGCTCGACAGTGCTGAGTTCATTAAAACCACGATGAAATTGAACGTATGGGAAACATCGCTTAGATGGTTAACACAGCGTACGGTTATTATTTATTTATTTGTTGGTAATATAGCGAGAGGATGAATGGCACCGGGAGAGAGGAGGTGGGGTCGTGAATCAATCCGCGAGAGCGCCGAGCGGAACCCGCGGAGCTCCGCGGGGCTGCGCTGCCTCCGCCACTGCCGCCTTCATTCCAACCCGCGGCGTTGCCCCCCCCCCCCCTCCTCAACCCGTCACACCTCCTCCTCATCTCCAGTCGACGCGACTCCGCCGAGAGGCAACTGCGGACGGGAATTTCCGCGGTTCCTCGTTCATCCGCGTCCCCTGCTAGGGCACCCCGGGCCTAGGGGGTCCCAGTGCCCCCCTTGGGGATTCCTCGGGGGTTCAACTTCGCTCGCAGGAGCCAAGACGCCTGGCGCCGAGGGTCGAATTGGTTCCCAGTTGCTCCTGCTGCTGCTGCCGCGCGCGTGCGTCAGAGTGAGCGCACTCGCTCACAAGCAGCAGTAGCAGCAGCAGGAGCAACTGCTGCTGCTTGTGTGTGTTCGTGCGCGTCACGGTGAGCTCACACGCGTCCCTTGCGCTCCGCGGCGACAGCAGCAGGAGAAGAGGGAAGCCTTCAGATGCAGTCACAGGATCATCTTCTTCATCAACATCCTCGGGGGGAAACACAAGACGAGTTGTTATATTAATATCAGAGTGTTCATATTCATAGAACAGCCACCTCAGAATAAACAAATAGGATACTGAATTTTAATCGTGGTAACATCAGTCATTTTGATCATCATAAATAAAGTACAAGTTACTATGAACATATATACCATCGTCGTCATCATAATAAAACATACGTTGTTATATAAATCAGCATATCATCAATAGCGACTGCATACAAAGTATGATACGTAATCTTAAGTGATATCATTATTATCAGCAGCAGCAGCAGCAGAAAAGAGAGTTTTAATATAAAGCGAGATATCATCATCGTGAGAGGTGCAATGGAAGCGCTGTGGACGAACGCGTCGCGACTCCCCCTGGGTTCTGCACTTGGCAACGCGACCTCGGATCTCCTCAACCCTGGAGCGTCAACCAACAGCACCGCCATCACGACGAACAGCAGCACCATCAACACCATCAACATCATCAACAGCAACAGCAGCAGCGCCGGCGGCGAGGAGGAGGAGGGGGGCGTGGGCGAGGAGGATTTGGACGTGAACACGGACATGTACACGAAGCTGCTCGTCACCCTCCTCTACCTCTTCATCTTCACCGTGGGCACCGTGGGGAACGGCGCTACGATCTACGTGGTGGCGCGCAAGAAGACGCTGCAGCAGCAGCTGCAGAGCACGGCGCACTACCACCTCGTGAGCCTCGCCGTGTCCGACGTGCTCATCCTCGTGGTGAGCATGCCCGTCGAGGTCTACAGCTTCATCTGGTTCCACCACCCGTGGACCTTCGGCTCGTCGGCCTGCAAGGCTTACTACTATCTGCGCGACGCGTGCACCTACGCCACGGTGCTGAACATCTGCAGCCTGAGCGCCGAGCGCTACCTCGCCGTGTGCCACCCTCTGCGCGCCAAGGCCCTCATGTCCCGCCAGCGCGCCAAGGGCCTGCTGGGCCTCGTGTGGGTGGCCTCCTTTCTGCTGGCACTGCCCATGCTGTTCGCCATGGGCACGGTGGAGAAGGTGCACAGGAAGGACGGCACGGCCGATCCGAGTGGCGTGGTGTGCACCAACGTGGCGAGCGAGCTCAACCTGAAGATCATCCTGCAGGTGAGCGGCTACGCCGAGATGGGGGGGGGGGGGGCTGCTCTTGACATCGCCGTTATCATTTTGATGTTAATTTTGATGGTCGTCACCGTCATAATCGTTAGCAGCAGCATTTAGTTATCATAATTGGCATTTTAGTCAACGACAGAGTCATAATTGTCATGATAAGCAGCGGTAGCCTCGGCATCACTGTCATGATAATTTTAGTCGAAATCATCATCAATGTCGTCGTCGATAACATGGTCATAATTCAAATATCGTCATCATCAGCATTGTAGCTGACGTCGTCGTCTTTATCTTCATCGTCGTTATAATATGTAGGGCGATCATCATCGTGATCATCATCGTGATCATCATCGCGATCATCGTGATCATCATCGCGATCATCATCGTGATCATCATCGTGATCATCATCGTGATCATCATCGTGATCATCATCGCGATCATCATCGTGATCATCATCGCGATCATCATCGTGATCATCATCGTGATCATCATCGTGATCATCATCGTGATCATCATCGTGATCATCATCGTGATCGTCGTCGTCGTCCTCCCATCACCTCGTTAGGTACCTAGTTGGCGATACAGGATCATCAGCAGAACCATACTCAAGATCATCTTTGATAGCAGTAACCATCAATCATAATGATCGTCATGGTAATCATCGTCATCCCGCAGACGTGTCATTGCCCGAAACGTTAGTCTCCATCGTATGCTATCCGTGTGCTGAGAGTCCGTGGCAAGGAGGTCGAGTTGGTATATGGACGTGGCGGACCGAGTGGGCGGCATGCGCGTGCCAGTGACGCCACGGGATGGTTTTTGTTCTTGGGCGCGTTCTCAAAACCGTGGCCAAGGGGCTGCCGGCGTCGTACCTCGCTCGAGTCGCGGTGGAAGCCGTTCCGATCTCTCGCGGTGAGCCGTGCGTCACCCCGGGGTGGGGAAGGGCACGTGGAGGCGGGTAACACAGAACCACTCCGAGAACCCTTCAAGTGACCACGTGTCTCTACGAGGCGTCTGCTGCCGCACCCGTCGTCTTGTTGGTCTCGGCACATCGACCACTGAGGTCGCTTCGGTGCAACACCAAATTGGATGCGGGTTGTCTTTGTGTGTAGTCGTCAGTGGCCGGGCTGAGGCTGTCACCGCGCTACATTTGGGAACGCGGTTTAACCACGGGCGGTTGCACTCCGAATTTGAGGATCTCATCGGTGGCAGCCCAGTGTCTCGTGGTGTTCGCTGTCTCCGACACGGCCACTGTGAACCTCCACAGCCACCCGACCGCCTGAAACGTCCGCGGGGTCTTTTGCGTCGCCCTTGCACCAGACGCGGCGCTTCGCTCGAGTCTGGGCTTCACACAGTCGGGAATGGACCCGGCGCGCGAGTCCACAGAGAATGTGCCCCGCAGAGAGATTCCAAGGGGGCTGTGAGGGGGCCTCTTCCACCCCCCCCGTGGGGGGAGGCGGACAGGATGGATCCATCATCACGAGACTGACGGGACGTGACTGGGCCTCGGTGGTAGAAAAAAAAACATCGTTATCAATATAGCGATACGATCCCGAGCAACATTGTAATCGGTAGCATTATTATCATCATCATCATCACCACCATAACTTGGTGAGCACTCTGGAGACCAGGATAGTCTCAACGTGACAAAGCAAATAAAGTGCAGCAAATATTCAGCAGCAGCAGCATGGTGATGTCAATCTCACGTGACCACCCCCAGATGAACGCGCTCACCGCCTTCCTGCTGCCCATGCTGCTCGTGTGGGCTCTCAACTCGCTCATCGCGCGCTGCCTCCTCCTCATGCTGCGGGGCGCGGCGGCTCCCGGCGCCGGAGTAGGGGGGGCAGGAGGGGGTCTGCGTCTGCGGCAGGGGGGCGCCCCCCCCAGGGCGCCCTCGCACGGGGGGGACGGCTGCGGGGCCCCGGGCTCCCCTCGCGGCTCGAGGCCCCGCGGAGCCTCACGGGGGCCACCGGGAGCCCCGCGCGCGCGAGGTCCCCGCGGGGACACCGAGAGCCTCTCGCTGGGAGTCTCGCTGGAGCCGTCGCGAGTCCACGCGCTGCGCCACGGGGTCGCCGTGCTGAGTGAGAGGCGCGGGGACAATGCGGCCTCTCGCGGGGGCATTCGGGGGCTCACCTCGGGGACGCGTAGAGACCCACACTCACGGGGAGCCGCAGGGACCGCTAGAACTGACGGGGAGCCGCATACCAATTCGGATTCACGGGGACGAACGGGGACTCAGGGACCCACACACCAAGTGGGTATCCCGGGGACCAACAGGGATTGATTCGGACTCGTGGTGCTCTCTAGGACTTAAAGGGACGAACGGGGAACTCACAGGGAGGAGCCCATATGGAATTTGTAGGACTCATGGGGAGTGACCTAATTATAATTTGGTCCGCACAGATAGATCCACCTCGCAGCCCAAGTGTACACACAGCACGAGATATGCACAGCCACTCTCTGATCCGAGCCGTCACGAGGCTCAACTCGGCGGAGCTGAGAGCGGACGAGACGAGCTCTCTCTGAGTGAGTCCTCCCCGAAGTCGCAACGACTCCTCGGTGCATGGCTCTTCAAATGGCTCTCCGAATGGCTCTCTGAATGACTCTCAATGCGATTTCAAATGTGTTGTGGACAATTTATCCCCGCCGTGCCGGTCGTCCGTATCAAACGCGGTCTCCGTGGGTTACCACCTGCAGTAAAAAGGTCCAGGGGTGTGTCTGTGTGTGTCTGTTTGTCGACCTACGTCGACTCAGCCTCAAATGAGTACCTCGTGCGGTGTGTCAACATCGCCACTGGGGAGACAAAGGCGGTCGGGCGTGGTGCTGGCCACTCACCCCTCGTGTGCCGTTCCGGCCTTCATAGGTGCTCGCTAAACACTTGCCCCAACAGTCTGTTACAGGCTATACGGGGGAACTTTTTGTGTGTGTGTGTGTGTATCTGTGTCTGTATGTGTGTGTGCTCACACAGGGGCGATCGTGGTGGCGTTCGTGGTGTGCTGGCTGCCCTACCACTCGCGCCGCCTCATGTTCTGCTACGTGCCCAAGGACTGGTGGACTCTGTGAGTGCCCCCCACCAACCCCCCACCAACCCCTCTCCACGCGTCCACTCCACACCTGCGTGTCGATCACGGCAACGTTCGAGCTGTTGAAGCTGGCGGTAGTGATGGTGGCGGCGTGCGCAATGCTAGCGATGGTTGACGTAACGCAGGTTTGGAGGAATGTTGACATTGTTCCATTGCGGACTCCGCGGACTTGGGTCCCATCTCGGAGTTTACCGCCCGCGCGATCCAGGGGGCTGCAAGGGGCCGGCGGGATTAGATAATCCCTGGAGCGGATGCCACGAGCGAGGAGCCTGTGTTGTGAGATTATGAAGCACGTCGATCAGGGGTATTGTGCCCAGAGGACAATAGGCGCTGATTTTGCGTGGGGATGTTGAGGATTGGTGATGGTGAGGATTGCGAGGGTGGGTGGTGGTATATTCATCAACAATTCTCACATCCACCTGTACACTCACACACCACACACCCACCCAACAACAACAGCCGCCATTCGCCACGAAGTGGCGGTGACGTCACCAAGGCGATTGTGCCAGGCTAGGTGCACCTTGAGGCCACGTGAAGTGTCTAAGGCTCGCTGGTAGGAGGTCACGGGACAGACCCAGGTGCCGTGGGTTGACTGAGATGACTGGAAGATGTACCACCTGTGCTCCTCACTGAGCTAAATCGCTGTATTTTAGCCGCTCGATGTTCTGCTCATTGTTGCAAGTGTCACTCCGTTGTTGTTGGATGGCTACTGCCTCCAACTGCCCAGTCGCGTCCTTCACGAACCTCCTCCACAGGCTAAGGCCAGTTCTAGGCAACTCAACTTCATCACCTGTACCACATCTCTTCTCTAGCCCGTGTCGCCCCCCTTTAGCCCCATCTATCCGGCCAAACAGAAGCTACGTGACCCAGTCAACGCAGCCTTGCTTGCCGGGGGAACTTACTGATAGGACTGTGTCCAGATATTTCAAGGATCTGTAAGCTTCTCACACAATTCAGCCTGGTTTAACCCAGCATGGACCGTAGACAGGATAGTCTGAATGTTTCTAACCGGCGCAGATGTTCCATTAGAAGGGTCCATGTTTCATACGCATCGAGAAGGGAGGGCATGACTGTGGCCAAGAAGGCTTAAAGCGTCGTGTGGAGCGACAGATCGGGTAGCTTCCACACGTATACTGTACACACACCTGTACACCCACACGTGGAACGGCTCTGGCACGGCCAGGGGCAGTGCTTCTTGGTCGGTCTCTTGGCGGGCAAGGCAGCGGCAGGACTGAGCAGGGCAGGGGGCAGAGCCAGCCCTGCCCCCAAGCACGCCTCTCTCGGGAGCAGTGATGATGGGCATGCAGCAGGAGGTGAATGGCGGCGCCTCTCGCCCTCTCCACGAGGAGATGGCTCCCTGCGAGCCCCTCAGGCCACATCCTCTGCTCTACGCGCGTCAATCATCGAGAAGAGGCCCCCTCCTCTCCCCCCCCCTACACCCACCCCCGGGGAGCCCGAAGAGAAATGAATACATCTTGGAGCGTGGAGCAATCAGAGGACACAACGGGCACGAGCATTACGACTCGCACTGTCCGTGTGTGTCCGCGAGTTCAGTTCGTCCCAATGAGCCGTGCACGTTTCCTCACTCCTCACCCGCCCACATGTCTCCTCACCCCCCCCCCCCCCATGCACAACTTCCTCACCCACCCACATGTCTCTCCACCCGCCCCCGTGTCTCCTCCTCCTCACCCCTCCGCGTGCTCGTAGCCAGCTCAACAACTTCTACCACTACTTCTACATGCTCACCAACGCGCTCTTCTACGTCAGCTCGGCCGTCAATCCCGTGCTCTACTACCTCGTGTCCGCCTCCTTCAGGAGCGCCTTCCTCGCCACGCTGCGCTCCCTCGCGCTCTGCGGCCGCCCCTGGCGAGGTGGGGCCGCTCCTCGCTGGGGGGGGCGAGCAAGGAGGAGGAATGGCCGAGGCCGCTGCGAGGGGCCCTCTCCCGGCTCGCTGCTGCAGGGGGACTCGGCGCGGAGGGCCGGGGGGGGCGGCTCGGCGCTGCTGCTGCGCCTGCACGGCGCGGGGCCCCCCAGGGACTCGAGTCCCAACACGGAGGAGTCCAGCATCAGCATCTCCACCATCGGCTCGCTGCGTTGACCGCGCAGTCCAAACGGGGGGGGGGGGGGGGCGGGGGCGCGCGTGGTAGAAGGGGACAACGGAGGGCTCAAGGTTAAAGGTCAACGCGAGTTGCTGCTCAAACGAGCATCGGTGCTCACCTCCAGTTGACAGCCCTGAGCCAGTGATGGAAATCCCACGTTCCCATGGCGGGACGAGTCCATTCATTGCACAACCACTGTTGACACCCCCTGCTGAGTGGTACTCACTTTATCGACCCCGCAGACATGGTGGGCTGAGTAAACATTCAACCAGGATTTGAAACTCTTTGGCAATCACAGTTAATGGCGTACCAGTGGGACATTCAGACACTGGTTATGCAATGGTGGGACACTACCAATGGTTGGACACTACCAGTGGTGGGACAATGGGGCGATCGTGGGACAAAATGGCAACGCGCTGGACAAGTGGTGCCATCGAGATGTGCACGTCACGCTTTTGTGAACCACGTTCGAGATGTTCTGTCAATGTGTGTGCTGTCAGTTTAGCCCGCAGGCTTTCGCCACCAATATCCATAATTTAGGGTTTCTGGGTTAGATCGCGTAAATATAAATGTGTCGTTAAACCCGCCACCACTCGACACAGCCAATTAATAAGGTTTATGACGGAAACAGAACATGGCAATTGGTTACTAGTACAGCACACCAAATGTGTAGTTTCGGCATTAATTACAACTAACATCATCAGGCGACAGCCAGGCCGCCTGTTGATGTTACGTAATCAAACTAACTAATTGGTCGTGTCGGGTGGTGGCGGGTTTAACGACACATTTACATTTACGCGTTCTAACAAAACAACCTCATGATGGATGTGTGTACTGTGTATGGGGAGCGGTGGCGCAGCGGTTAGCACACTGCACGACGAGCCCGGCGGCCAACCCCAGCCGCGCGTTTTGCCGACTGGGCCTTGGTTCCTCCGGAACCCCCCCCGCCACGAGCCCCCCCCGCCATACGTAAACATCGATCGTGGGAGACAAAGGCGGCCGAGCGTGGCGCTGACCACGCCACTCTCGTGCGCCGTGCCGACCTGACAGCCCTCGTCACCTGTGCAGGGATCTTTGTTTGTATCTCGTGTCCGACATGCGAGAGCTCTTCACTTGCTTCCCGAGTACACGCAATGTGTGTGCGCTATGTATCGGGGAGCGGTGGCGTGCAGTGGGTTTTGGTGCTCGCTAACAGCACATTGCCCACACGGCAATGTGTCGTTGTACTCCACGTGTACACGCTATACATTCTGTGCGTATGCTCTGCATATGCAGAGCCGCGCGGTCTAGCGAGGTATTCACACAGCAGTAGACACTCTGTAGTAAAATGCTGGTGATTGTGCAAGCAAAAGTGTTGTCTTGTGTTTAAAATGGTGTGTACATTTACAGCAGTGGAGATACAAAGGCGGCCAGGCGCACGTGCTTCTGGTCCCAGCGTCGTGGCGTCGCTCGCCGGCCGCCCAGTGTGGGGTTGCTCTCATCTCGGCTCGCGACAATGGACATTGACCAAACATCCCCAAAGTCGTCAAACGCGCGTCTCACACTCGTTGGGGCTCAGTAAATGAAAGGAATTACTCCCTGGGTGGTCCACGGGGCATCAACACCCCCACCACGGCGGTGGCTGTTGTTGTTGTTGTTGCTGTGCTCGTACCGTAGAAGTCACAGTCTTCATCGATTTCCCGAGCGGGAATGTATCACCGGGTTTGATTGTTGTTGGAATAAGTGGCGTTTATTTCATTAAAAAAGATTGTCGGACCAATGAAGGACATCTCGCCCTGCCTGTGATGAGACGCATCTGGCTCATCGTACTTATCGAACTCGCGTTGCGATGCACGGGGTTGTAAGGGTTGGTGGATCATGCCGTGATTTGAGAAACTCATCTCACCGAGCGGAAAAATGCCCATGAGATGGAACAGCAAGTGGATTCGTGAACCCATCTGTGCGGAATTTTGAGCGTCACCTTCCCCTATGCAAAGTGGTTTTCCTCCGGGTTCTCTGGTTCGCTCCCCCGAGAAGCCAAACTCTCATTCACCTGGAAATGCCCCAACGTCCCAATGTGACAGGACCCTCTTGAGAAGGAGTCTTGGGGCTCAAACGAGGCTTTTATGGCATTATCATTATAAACGTTACGCCTGACTGCCTCCAACTGTCCAGCAGCGTCCTTCGCGAGCCTCCTCCAGATGCCGATCTTGACACCGCTGGTACCAGTCATCCGGCAAGTCCACTCAGCTCCACATCCTCATGTATCACGTCACTCCATCTCTTCTCTGGCCCGTGCCGCGCCCGTTTAGCCCCCTCGATCCGGCCGAACAGAAGCTGTTTAGGCATGCGGTGATTGGGCATGCGGGCTACATGGCCCAGCCAACGCAGCCTTGCCTGTCGGAGGTGCTCACCGATGGGACTTTGTCCAGATCTTTCGAGGATTTGTGAGCTCCTCACACAATCCAGCCTGGTTAAACCCAGGATTGATCGTAGGCAGGCCAGTCTAAATGTTTCTAACCGGCGAAGATGTTCCATTATGGGAGTCCACGTTTCGCAAGCATAACACGCACATACACGCACGCACAGACGCACGCACAGACGCACAGACAGGCGAGTGAGCGAGCTCACACTGAAAGCTTTACTCGATGCCGTCTCGGACTAGACGCGCGGCGCCTCCGCGCACAAGCCGAGAGGAGGAGACGCGGCGCCTCCGCGGCCACGCGGGGTTCCCTGAGGTAGGCGCGGATTGTAAACGACAGCTCCACGAAAACAACATTCACAATCTGAACCGCAACATCATCATCATTACTACAGTTAACACAATTTTTCACCTCCAGAACGAAAAAAAAACTAACTTCCCCGCCGCCCCCCCCCCAGACTTCTGTGTCTAAAATAACAAACGCGCCCCTTTGCCCCCCAAATAAAACAAAACAAACTTTGATTGAAAATGCGCAGTGGAGAAACGAGAATTAGGAGAGGGTCGCCCCCGGGGTAAAGATGGGAAAGGGGGACACAGGGAAGAGCAGGGGAGGGAGGTGGGGAGGGAGAGAGGTGGGGAGGGAGGGAGGTGGGGAGGGAGGTGGGGAGGTGGGGAGGGAGAGAGGTGGGGAGGGAGGGAGGTGGGGAGGGAGGGAGGTGGGGAGGGAGGGAGGTGGGGAGGTGGGGAGGTGGGGAGGGAGGGAGGTGGGGAGGGAGGTGGGGAGGTGGGGAGGGAGGGAGGTGGGGAGGGAGGGAGGTGGGGAGGTGGGGAGGTGGGGAGGGAGGGAGGTGGGGAGGGAGGTGGGGAGGACAGTCGGGGGAGCAGGGGGGGGAGGGAGTAGCGAGCGAACAACCGCACGGGCTCCTTCAAACCCCGGTGCCTTCTGCGCGAAGCGGCCACCTCGCACGTTCACGCACTCGCACGTTCACGCGCACGTTCACACACACGCGCGTTCACACACACGCACGTTCACACACACGCACGTTCACACACACGCGCACGTTAACACACACGCGTGCAAAGTCGCACGCACTTTCACATTCGCGCACTCGTACACGCGAGCGACGGCCGCGTACATTCAACGAAGGGAACTCGAGAAGCCATCTCGCCATCTCGCCGTCTCGCCGCCCCGTGTAAACATTCTGCCTGGTCCGCGTGCCGCCTGGACCCGGGCTGTGTACAACCTAGGGCCACCCACCTGGCGGGCACCTTGAGCCCACAGCCCCCCCAACCCCGACGAGCGCAACACTGAAACCCGAGACCGAGGGAGCGCGCGGGCAGCCCCCCCACCCTCCCCTCCCTGTGGATCACGGCGATTCGTGGTGGGGGTCGTTACAGGAACACGGCGCCCGAGTTCGACCCCAAGTCCATGGAGCAGAGCACAGAATGGCGGTGGTGGTGGTTGTTATGAAGGTGGTGCTCAAGGTGATGGTTGGTGAAAGGGAAGGTGATTGGTGGTGGTCTTCTTTCGTATGGATTCATAGCAGCAGATTTTAAGATGTAATTTTTTATTTGTTAGCCACTCAATTGTCTGTTCAGATGCAGAGTGGATCTCGCCCGTTCCTCCTTTAAAGGTATGAAGACAGCAGCAGCTGCTTAGAATGTGGTCGATCGTTTGGAATTCGTGGCCGCACTCGCAGACCGCCGAATCTTCGATGCGACATTTGCGCATCAGGTGGCCGCCGCATCGGCCATGCCCGGTCCCGATTCGGTTGATGGTCGACCGTTGGCGGCGTGAAACGTTGAAACCTGCGGGAGGGTGGACGGTAGTAGGGTCCTGTACGAGATGTTTGTTTTTGACGTCGGCCACAGTCCAGACTCGCTCTCATCTCTCGCCTTTATCTGCATCTGTGGCGCGGAGTGAGGCTGCTGCTGCGATCCAGAAGGGGTGGCGTGATGTTAGGCGAACAGGCGGCGCTGGGTTCATGTGCCGTTGAAGGTGCGGGGAGGGGGGGGGGGCTTAACGATCATTGCTTGATACTCCCGGACGGCCGCCGCTGTTTCACGACGGATTTGCGGCGGAGCGATGTGGGTGAGCACCGGGAGCCATTGGGTCGACGTGAGCGTACCGGAGATGGCACACGCATTGCAATGTTCAGTTGTGTCGAGTGTGAGCGCTGCGTCCCAACACAGGTGACCACCAATACCCTCCCGTCAAACACACGAGGGAGAGTGTGGCAGGCCATAGTGTTTTGCGCATCACAGTCGCAACTAGTTGGCGCCAGTTTGTGACTAATATCCGTGCGGGTTTTGTCTTGTTGCTCAACTGCTCAATGTGTTGCCTGAAAGTGAGACTTGGATCGAGCACCAGTCCATGGCTCGCCGGGAGTGGGTGACAGTTTTACCACAAAACTCGATCTGCGGCGTTAGTTTTGCCTCTGCGTTGTCGAGATGGAACGCTGAGGACACACGGTCGAGGTTGGATTGGCTTAAGTCGCCAGGAGTAATAATACTCTTCCAATTTCTTTAGGGTGGTGTTCAAGATGTCTTGAGCTGCGCTGAGTGCCGTCGCTTGGCTGGCCAATGCTAGATCGTCTGCGTCAATGAACATGCCGCTTGAGATTAAACAGAGCTGGTGGTGGTGTCACGTGGGAGAGGCACCCATTCTCAACGCAGGAGGAATCATTCTGACTGCAATTATCAGAGGGCTGTGAGAAACAATGCCAGCAGTGGATAGACAATGGATGATAATGGAATATGTAATGGACATGTTAATGATAATCGCATTCAAATATACTCATGCCCACCACCACCATCTACTATGCTTATGAAACCTTTGAAAAACACACGACTCAGTTTTACCCATTTGAGTGGGACTGACAGGTCCACAGACAGTCTTGATACTCAGCGAGGCTTGCTGGACCACGGTGGGGTCCCATTACATGACTTCTCATGCGTAAAGGCGCACGCCCCACGCTCTACCTTTGTCGTGTGGATATTAGTGCAAAGGCACTCCAGAGGTTTATCTCGGGGTGAGCTCATCTTCGGGCCAAGGTCATAGTGACAGGAGGCAGGGTCGAGGTTACGCCATCGTTGCGATGGGGGCCTTGTCAACGCACCACCCCTCCCTCCCCCACCCAAGTGGCGAGTGGTACGCTCCACGTGCAAGTTACGCACTGGCTGCGGAGCAATGGAGTGTACCACGTGCCATTCAGAGGGGTGGGAGGGAGGTTAGTTCTGTATTTGGCCCTGGCTGGGGGGCAACCCAGGGTACATACAATATATTATCACCCGTCAACAAAACATTTTATTAAACACATTCGAGCCCACGTCTCTCGTACCGGGTGGGGCACTGGGCGGAGAAGCAGGATGCATGCAGCAGAGGGTGGAGGGTGGGGGACAGGGAGATGGAGCAAGGTGGCTAAACACTCCGTGCGTAGGGAACCGGCAGAGTGGATGGGGCGAAGTGGCAGTGGTTAGGGTGTCAGGGAGGACGTGGTTAGGGCGGTGGCGGAGGAGCGAGATGGCGGCAGAGTGCCGACCCATCAGTCGCTCACCGTGGTGACCACATCGACGTGCATCCGCAAGAGTCGGGGTGATTGCCGGGTGCCCCACCACGCCCGCCCCGCGTGCTACAACCCTCGCGCCCACCAGCAGCGCCGCTGTGGAGCGTGCAGGCGGTGCAACGGGCACCAGGGCCCACGGGCCGGAGGGGCCCAGGTGCCAGGTTACCAACTTCATTCGTTGCTCCGGCGCCCAATAAAACACGCTGCTGCACCACTGCTCCGAACCCCAACGTCCTTCATCACGTCCACAGCAATCATCTCTCACCCCACCGCCATCACCAGCCATAACGAGAATGCTCATCGCGATGAATCCTAGTCTCACTGACAGCACCAGCACAGAGGAGCCGGACACTCGCCCCACCGTCTAACCGCACTCCAATCCCTAACCCACACCACCATCTAACCGCACTCCAATCCCTAACCCACACCACCGTCTAACCGCACTCCAATCCCTAACCCACACCACCATCTAACCGCACTCCAATCCCTAACCCACACCACCGTCTAACCGCACTCCAATCCCTAACCCACACCACCATCTAACCGCACTCCAATCCCGAACCCACACCACCGTCTAACCGCACTCCAATCCCTAACCCACACCACCGTCTAACTGCACTCCAATCCCTAACCCACACCACCGTCTAACTGCACTCCGATCCCTAACCCACACCACCGTCTAACCGCACTCCAATCCCTAACCCACACCACCGTCTAACCGCACTCCAATCCCTAACCCACACCACCGTCTAACCGCACTCCAATCCCTAACCAACACCACCGTCTAACTGCACTCCGATCCCTAACCCACACCACCATCTAACCGCACTCCAATCCCTAACCCACACCACCGTCTAACTGCACTCCAATCCCTAACCCACACCACCGTCTAACCGCACTCCAATCCCTAACCCACACCAACATTTAACCGCACTCCAATCCCTAACCCACACCACCGTCTAACCGCACTCCAATCCCTAACCCACACCACCGTCTAACCGCACTCCAATCCCTAACCCACACCACCGTGGAACTGCACTCCAACTGTAACCCCCTTTCTCTTGCACATCTGTAGCTGTCTCCTTCACTGGGTCTCCACCTCTACCACCCGAGAAGCATCAAACACCCACGCGTGATTCAATTTCTTGGCATGGCGCTCACACGTGTACACACACCCTCACACGTGTACAGACATCCACACGTGTACACACACCCACACGTGCACACAGACACACTCACATGTGTACACACATACACATAGACCCCCGTATAGCCTTTAACAGACTGTTGGGGCAAGTGCTGTAGCTAGCACCTATGAAGGCCGAAGTGGCACACGCAGAGTCGCACGTGTGCACACATACATACCGAAACATTCACATGTACACACTGGCACACACACGTGTACATACGTGTACACAGACAACCGCACACACAGTCACATGTGTACACACCAACTCACACGTGTACACACACCGCAGCGGCACTAAGCACTCTCACTCCCATACACAATCGCACATACTCTCTCGCCCACGCACACATACTCTCACACACGCGCACACATATCCGAAACACTCACACACACCGCAGTGAGGCTGTCTTGACAGGCGGCACCATGGACCCTCCACACGCCAGGTCACGCGAGGTCGTGACCTGGACCCCCACCCCCTGGGGTCCCCGTGTTGTTGATGTAATTTTGTTGTTGTTGATTAGATCGCACACCCCCTGGTGAGTTCGGCACGATGTTGATTTTGACATTGAGTGCTCAGTGAGACGCCAGTCACTCAACCCCCACTGCCCAGCTGAGGGGGGTTGGGCAGGGAGAGCAAGGGGGAGGGGCAATTCGACGTTGTGGGGGCTGGGCGAGGGTGGGAAAGGGGAGCAGATTGTGGACAGAGGGGGGGGGGGCGTGCTCCAACGACGAAGGCACAGCCACGACGGACGCCAAGCGAACTGCCGGAGGATTTTGATCAACAGCTGCACCTGAGGCAGGTGACAGGCGAGCGAGTCAGGCGACGTGAGGGGCGAGCGAATCTGTCTCATGCGGGAACACACGCCGAGGTCCGGTCGCACCGCATCGCTGCGTCCTGCGACGCCGCCACAACCTCCTCTCCCCATGCTCACGGCCGCATCGCTGAACCGACTGCTTCCCGCCTGCCCGAGCCAGCACAGGGTGAACTCCTTCTGGGTAGTGCAGGGGGTAGAGGGTGGACGCCTGCTGGGTAGTGCAGGGGGTAGAGGGTGAACTCCTGCTGGGTAGTGCAGGGGGTAGAGGGTGAACTCCTTCTGGGTAGTGCAGGGGGTAGAGGGTGGACGCCTGCTGGGTAGTGCAGGGGGTAGAGGGTGGACGCCTGCTGGGTAGTGCAGGGGGTACAGGGTGGACTCGGTTCCGGACTCAGACGTGACGGCCCGTGAGGAAGAACAGGGGGCGGTCTCCGGGCGAGTTGGCCGTCTGGAACTCATCTCGCAGACGGAACTGCCACACCTCCTCGAGCTCCAGCCGCACCACGGTCTGACGCAGCGAGCTCCTGTCCTGGCAGATGACGCAGAGCGTCGCGCCTGCGAGCGCACGTCGGGAACCCCACATCAGCATTAAGCCACGTAATACACTGCCGGTTTAAGGTCTCCGCAAGGCCACAATTTCAACGAAAACATGCACCGCGCGCACACCACCTCCAACACCGTGCTCACGTACCCGCCCCATCCACCCACCGCCCCCCTCCACAACCTGAGCCACCGACCCAAGGACGCCCCTCCGCCCCGCCACCTGCTCCCCTGCCCCAAAGCTGCACGGCGCCTACCCTGCAGAAACTTGAATCGACGCAGCATGTCGGCCGTCAGCCCTGAATCGCACAGGTAGAGCAGGAGGCCGCTGTAGACGGGGAAGGGGCCGGGGGGGCCCACAGGGGCGGCTCGGGAGCTTGCGTAGCACACGGACACCTGCGGGGCGGCAGAGGAGTGGCAAGCAGAGCTCAAGGAGCGGCACATCCTCGTGTCCCTCCCTCTCCCCCTGCCCTCCCTCCCTCTCCCCATGCGTCCCCCCCCCTTTTCCCCGCGCGTCCCCGCGGTGGTACCTGTGCGCCCAGGTTGAGGTAGGAGTCGAGGGCGAGCACGGGGTGAGCGTGTGAGCGCGCCGCGTGCGGAAACAGTGTGCTGCCGGCCACGCGCAGGTAGCGCTCGAGTAACAGGTGAGCCGGCGCCTGCAAGAAGGTGTAGTCACTGTCTGGGGCGCACACGAACTGGCTCGGGGAGACGGGCGCGCACACCCCTGCCGCCTGCACACACGCACGCGCGCCAACATCGCCACGTCACGCGAGATGTCACGGTCATGTCGTCGTCGTCGCCACGTCACGAGCCATCACAGTCACCATGTCGTCATCGGCACCATCGTCATCGCTGTCACGTCACGTGAAACATTGTCACAATCGTGTCATCATCAAAATCATCACCGTTGCCAAATCACGTGACAGCATTGCCACATTACATGGCACATCACGAGCACGGCCGCATCATGCAGAAGGTCACTCTCACCACCACAGATGGGGACGAAGCATCGCTCCATCACACGGCACCGTGACATTCACGTCATACTCACCGACTGTAACATCGCATGAGGCGTCACCACGTCAAGCCGGCCGTCGCTCCACCACATGGCCCATTACACCCGCGGCACCAGATGCCACGTGATTGCCGAATCTCACGCCACCGGAGGGAGCCTTTATTTCCCATGCCGGTGCTCATCTCCGATTCCGCGAACGAGCGAGCGAGCGAGCAGATCGAAATATAAACGATGTCCCCGTGGGGACCGTGCCAAACATCGCTCGGTCTCCAGCCGGGAGGGCGCAATCCCCCATGCGGATTCATCGCACATCTCGAGATGCCATGCGGACACGGTGGGGAAAGTACCCCCAGACTCACGGGAAGACCCACAGACTTGGGGACACGCACAAACTGGCAGGACCCTCCTTTTCCCGGGTAAACAAGTACAATATCATAAATACTATTGGGATTCATATCGTATCTTGATTGGATCGCATCACAAGACTCAACGTAAATATTGATTTGGTGGAGAGAGGCAGGCAGTCGTACAGGAGAGTGAAGCCTTGAGCCCGAGACAGGGGCAGGCAGCCGACAGCACGGGTGGCTGTGGGCCATGGTGACAGCAGAAGCGTTTCATCCGGACACTCTCCTGGTGAGGAGGAGTTGGCCAAATGCACGAACGCGACGCGGGAACTCTGACGCTGATACAGGACGATTATTTCACGTTACGACAACTATGCCGTGTGTTACATCTTATCCAATTTATTTATTTGGAAATAACAGAAGGGGTCCATGTTGAAGATTTAACGAGGTGTTACGGGGGAGGAAAGGGGCGGGGAGGGGTGCGGGAGGCCACGCTCCACGCTCTCTTCCCGAGTGTCGCGCGCGGTGCCGCATTCCACCCACGTCGTCGCCGATGCCATCGCGCTCATTGCGCTCGCGCCAATTAATGCGCGGCTCCTCCTGCCGCATTGTTGCCGCTGCTGCTGCCAGGGGTTGCGTTCCCGCGAGGGGGGGGGGGGGGCGGAACGAGGGTTTACGCAACAAAGCGGCGACGGCAGATGGGCCGGGCACCGAGATTGCTTTTTCGTTTTTCTCTCTCCCCTCGGAGAAACAAATTACGCGGAGGACGTGCGGCGCGCACGGGAGGGGTTAGCGCAGGGGACGGCAGCTCGCAGCGCTGGCTGGGACGTGCGTATGTGTGCGTGTGTGTGCGTGTGTGTGCGCGCGTGTGCGTGCGCGCATGCGTGCAGTGAGTGCGTGCGCTTTTGTGCATGCACACGTGCGATCCGCACCCTTCGCCCGTTTGTGGCGATATTTCCCAAGAAATGTCACTACAGTGTTTGTGCCAGGCGAGGTCAACTTTGAAACACAAAGTAGGAACGTACGTATGCACGCAACCCACACGCACACACATACATACACAAAACAAAGATCACTCGTGTAGCCTTCAACAGACTGCAAGTCCTGTTCGCGAGCACTCATGAAGGCCGGCCACGGCACAGGAGGGGGTGGGCGGCCACCACCACGCCCGGCCGCCTTTGTCTCCCCAGTGGAGATGTTTCCACACGCACCCACACACGTACGCACCGTAGGTGCCTGTGGCACAGGAACGTGCCGGTGGCCGCCCACGCCCACATGTTTCTTCATGACGCTGAACGCGTTGAAGCAGCACAGCAGCAAGGCCTGGCCATCGGCGCGCAGGTTGAAATCCACATCTTCACACGAGTACCTGGGCAGGGCGAAAATCTTGGGTCACACCAGGAGTCCTACCTGGGGTCTCACACCTGCCCGTACGCCGCGAGTCACAACTGTATTCTCACCTCTGCTATTACCGGAGAATCTCAGCTGTGCGGACTCACACATTGAACCTCACTTGTACTCTCAGCCGCAACTACACTCACACCCGTCCCCACACAAGGGTTCACACCTGGTCATCGTGGATCTCATTTGTACTCCACCCCATGTACTCTCTCCTGAGCACACACGCATCCGTACGCTCGTCCACACTCTCACCTGTCCCCCCCCATCCTCCGCTCACGCGCGAAGCTCACCGGTTGTGGTCGTACGTAATGGCGCGCGTCAGCTCCACGTTGAGCAGCACCAGGTCGTGGAGGTGTCGGCGTGAAAAGGAGTGGAGGCGCGCCGTCCCGGCCGCACCGGGCAGACCCGCGGCGCGCCACGAGCCGCCCCAGCGCCGCACGCCCAGCACGGCGTAGCGCGTCGCTTTGGGCGTCGCCTCCAGGCGGCGCAGCACGTGGCGCAGCGACACGCAGCGCTCCGTGTCGGCGGCGACGGTGTCGCCGCCGGCGGACGCCTGCGGCTCACGCGTCGTCCCGTCTGGTTCCATTTCCCCCTCGGACGTCTCCACCCTGCACGGCCACGGTGGGGCAAAGGTCAGGGGCGGCGGCGAGTCTCGCCGTGGCGTCGCGGCCGAGGCTTTACCGATGCGCGGCCTCGCGAGCGCCAGCGGTGCCGGCCTCGAGCGCTCCGTTCGCACCGCCGACCGTCACCGCCACGGACGCCGCCACCGCCGCTCCGCGCGAGATGCCGCAGCTCAAACGAACACCGCGGCGGGGGGAGGGAGGGCGAGATGCGAGAGGGGGGTGAGGGGGGGGGGGCGAGCACTGACCCGGTGGCTCCCGCCCTCCGTCGGGGCTGCGCCTCGTAGAACATGACGCACGAGTCGTCCATCACCAGCACGAACGGCCACACGTCCTGCGGGCGCGCGCCAGGAGCGGTGCACTCGCTGGCGGCGTCCGGGGCCCCGTCGCCTCCTGCCGCCGACCCCGCCGCCTCCACCTGGGCGGCTCGGCGTGCTCGCTCGCGCTCCAGATTCTCCCGGCACAGCTCCTGGACCAGGCACCGTGCCAGGCCTGGTGCACGCACGCACGCACGCACACGTTGGCGCGTGAGTACGTACGCGGGATGGGAACGAGCGTCACTGGGGCGACGGCGACGAAGCAATTGGTCGATTGGCATGATATTCGCGTCCAATAGCGCAAAGTGCATGCAAAAGAGATTCTAATATTACAATTATTGGGCTTATGGTGGGAACTGTGCGGAGGTTACGTACATACGGGAACACGCGGGAATGTGGAACGCGTGGACAAGCACGTGCATGGGTACGAGCACAGACAAGTTAAGGGGCATACAAAAACATACGGACGGGCATGCACAATAACACGTGGACAAGCACGGACACAGGCACACCCCGGGAACATGGAAACACACGGGAAGGCACATTCAGGCACCACAGACACAAACACAGACACACAGGCAAATGCGAGTACACACACTTGCCCATTCGGCACACAAGAACACACACAAGCACACAAGGGGGGATGCCGTACCGACGCCGGTGTGGTCGAGGTGCCGGGGCAGCGCCAGCAGCACGTGGTTGGGCCAGTAGCGCTGGTAGGCGGGCACCTCGCCGGCGCGCACCACCACCACGTGCAGCGCGGCGGCGCCGGCGCCCTCGAGCGCGTGGTGCAGGTTGAGCAGCCCGTGCTCGTGCCGCCCCGTGCTTGGAGTGAAGATTGGGCTGCGCACAGCCACCGTGTCCTCCTGGGGCGAGCGTGGGGGTGCGCGAGCGTGGGGGTACGCGAGCGTGGGGGTACGCGCGCGTGAGGGTGCGCGAGCGTGGGGGTACGCGAGCGTGGGGGTACGCGTGCGTGACGGAGCACGGCAGCTCCAACCAAAACACGGAAAGAGCCCTAAATCTCACGGTAACGCGCACGGCGAAGCGCCCGGCACCGGGGGGGGGGGGGGGGGGGGGGGTCATGGAGTCGCGGGTGGGAGAGCTGAATAAATAAATAACAATTCTGTAGGGGGTGGGGGAGCGAGGTGAAGCGTGGGGCAGAAAGGGATGGGGGAAAATGGCTTCACGGGTTCGTGTCGGTGGTGAGCGAGTCCTCACCGTGTCGGTGGTGAGCGGCAGGCGGAAGCTGTGCATGGAGCGGCCGCTGGCGCTGAACACGAAGTGGTGCTCCTGGGAGCGCGGCACCAGGAAGTGAAGCGTCACCTCCTCGCCCAACGCCGCCGACGAGAATGTGAAGGCGTGCAGGCCGGCCTCGCGCGCCTAGCCAGCCACACGAGCACCGTGTAAGTGCGTGCGTGTGTCAGTGTGCGTGCGTGTGTCAGTGTGCGTGCGTGTGTCAGTGTGCGTGCGTGTGTCAGTGTGCGCGCGTGTGTCAGTGTGCGTGCGTGTGTCAGTGTGCGTGCGTGTGTCAGTGTGCGTGCGTGTGTCAGTGTGCGTGCATGTGTCAGTGTGCGTGCGTGTGTCAGTGTGTCAGTGTGTGTGCGTGTGTCAGTGTGTGTGTGTCAGTGTGCGCGTGTGTGTCAGCGTGCGTGCGTCCATAACCCTCTCTCCATGCCTCCCATGTTCGCATGCTTTCCACCTCTCCTCACGCCACCCGTGTCCCAACGTCTTCGTGTCCCTGTGTTTTCGTGTTCCACGCCCTCTCTATCCGCATGTCCCCTTGTGCCCCCCCCCCACTCCCCAGCACCGCCGCGTCCTCGGGTCCCCTCTGACCTGCGTGGGCGGGCCGGGGTCCGTGTAGAGGTGGCACTGTTCGCAGTGGTGGAACGTGTTGTGAGCCGCGAACTTGGACAGCGTGACGGACACGGTGCGTCGCTTGGCTCCGCCCGATCGCTCCGCCAGTCCTGGGGGGCGCATGGGGAGGTGGGGGGGATATGGGGGCGGGGGGACGGGTCGCGTGAAGAGGCTCAGCGGCTGCACACTTGCCCGAGATCCAGCGCTTGCCAACTAAGCGCCGGTGCCACTGCGTAGGATTTCACTGTTGTGCTGTACAGATCTCCGCCGCCGTGCTTTTGGACAGCCAAAGAGTTGGTGGATCACATTGAGACTCGTGTCAAACTCTACAATACCCCCCCACCCCCCACACTCCACAGCCCCCTTCCCCCCACAGGGGCGACTGACGAGAGGTGCGAGGCGAACTCACCAGACTTGACCCTTGACCCCAAGCGAGGCGTGTAGACGGGGCTGGCATTGCGGAAGCGGCTGTCGCGTAGCACGGGGTCGAAGGTTAGTTTGCGGAAGGCCTCGATGTCCGGCCACTGGTCCTGCGACACGTGGAGGCTCGAGCTCCCCTCCAGCAGGTCTGGGGACACAGGGACATGGAGACGTAGGTGATATGGGGACACGGAGACACGACAACACCGGACATGGAACACACAGACATGGAGATATGGGACACGGAAACACGGAGTACAACGGTGCTGGAGAAGAAAAACCTGCATGATGTTATAAGACCAGGTTTAGGAGGTAGTGGTGAGGAGGTGGAAGAGGATCCGATGTGAGAGTAGGTGGACAAGTGTGAAGGTAAAGGACATACGAGGGAGAGGAGTTAGTGAGTGGGTAGACAGGAGATCATTGGGGTTGTGAGGTGAGGAGGTGATGAAGCGGTGAGGAGAGTACCTTGGTTGATGTCTTCCTCGTTGTAGACATCCACCTCCTGCAGGCGGATCAGCATGCGGTTGAGCACACGCAGGAACTGCAGATAGGCGCCGGTCTTACCCACCTGGAAAACAGCGTCCATCAGCCCCAGGGCCTCGTAATCCAACGCTCACACCGACAGCGTTTCCGGCAGCAGCAAAACTCATTATTTCCCGGTTTCAGCATCTCAAGAGGTCAGGCACACCACATCCAGTATATCATAACGCTATGGCTGTGTTTACTGCTCGTCACGGGCCACCTGCTTCAGTTTAACCCGCGATTCAAAAAATATTCAGTGAGAAATGAAGCCCTGCCCTTCACTACGACGGGCTGTCCCTACCAACGCCCCCCAAAACGCGACGTTCCACACCTGCGGTGGGCCGCACAGCAGCAGGCGGCGCGGGTGGAATCCACCGCTCCCCCCGGCCCCCACGCCACCCCCGTCGGCCGCTCGGTTGTCGTGGTCGCAGTGCTGCTGCCGCGCCACCGTCCACAGCCTGCAGTAGGCCGAGGATGCAGCGGCGACGGCGGGGGCGTGCGCCGGCGGGGGCGGCCGCAGGTGCGTGGCCCAGCCCACCCTGGGGGCGGGCGGCAGCAGCGCGTGCAACTCGCCCCCGCCCTGCCCGCGCAGCAGAGTGGCGACGGCCTTGGGCAGCAGCACGCACGGGGGGAGCACCTCGGCGGGTCCCGGCGGTGCCGGATGGAGCGCGGAGGGGGCCGCCGCGGTCGCCGGAGACGAGGAGGCCCGGCTGGTGGCGGCCCGCTCGTCGACGAGGCCTACATCGCCGTTGACGAGCGCCGGCTTCAGGTCGCCGCCCGTTTGCGTGGAGATCTCGGCGGATGGTTCCGTCGTCGGTTCGGGAGTCGGGTCCGACGGAACCGGGGGGTGCGTCCCGAGGGCCGTGCTTGCGCTTCCCTCGGCTGGTGGGGCCGGCGGGACCGGCGGGGGGGCGGCGATGTCGGGGGAAAGTGCGTCGGGAGATTTGGGGTCGGAGCCGGTGCCGGTAGATTTGAGGGATGAGCCCTCCTCGCTGGAGACCGGGCTCGAGCCGTTCTCTGCTACTCCACCTGCGACACCACCAGCAACGTCACCAACATCGTTACTGGCATCACCAGCAACATCACCATCATCACCAGCAACAACACCACCACACCAGACATGATCACAGGTATCACAACCATTCCCGAGATCCTCTCTGACGTCTTGGCCGACGTCTTCACCAACATGGACGACACCGCCATCCCGACTACTGGCATCGCCACTTCCATCACGAGTTTTCTGCATCTTCTGGAACGTTTCCCTCACCAAAAAACCCGGGAATGAAAAACAAAATCAGCGTTATAAACGCTAATCATGACATTGTCACGCTAATGCTTATTTAGCATTTTGTACCATAGTTTTGCATTGAACACGAACCATCAAGATCTGAAGGTTCACCACCATTGCTTCTAGCGAGCCTCACTCTGCCGATGAGACATTGAACAACGAAACCAGTCCAGAGGTGTGGTCGCACTGAACTAGTGACGTCAAAATTACGCGCACTCCCAGAAGGCCGTGCGGCTGATCGAACGCGTCAGAAACGCTTTAGTAACTTCACGCGGAAGGGCAGACGCGCACGGGAGGGGGGACGGGCGCGCGAGCGAGCGAGCGACGGACGCGTGGTCCGCTTAGTCGCAAGAGGCGGTGTCTCGGTCTCACTGGAGGAGGAGGTGGTGGGGGGCATGGTGCTGCCCTCGCTGTGGGGGCTGCTGTGGGCCTCCTCCCCGCTGGCCCTCCTCGTTCGCAGCCCCTCCCCCGGCGCCCCCGCCCGTCGCCCCTCGTTGCTCAGGGCGCGCTTCCCGGCCGACGCGGTCGCCCGGGTGACGTAGCGTGCGGCCGTGCCGAGCTCCTGCTCGAGCGCCGTGCGCGTCACTCCGCTCGTGCTCACGAGTCGCAGGTCGCAGTACTTGAGCGACCTGAGCAGGGGTCATGGGTCAAGGGGCACGCAGCGTAGGTTATAGGTAACAGGACACGGGTTGCCAAGACTTCGTAATTGCAAATTTCATGACGTGACGATTGTGGCAATATCAGTTCCCCGTAACGCTCTCACCGTATTTGGTATTTGTACCTCTTTGCTCAGCGAGGACATTCACTCAAAAGTTCTGCAATTGTTGTGCAATGCAGGCTGCCATTGAGCTTCTCATCATTATGACTCCCCAAACTCTGTGATGTCATCTTGCTGCTTCCTTTGCTTCGTCTCCCCGGCACACTCCATAATTCCATCGGTTGTTCTGATGACGCGTCCCGCCCATTGGCACTTAATTTGTTTTGCTTAAACAGCAGCAGCACGAGTGACCCCTGCCCTTCTGCTCACTCCTTCATCCCCTCGCCCATCTCTGACGAACCGCCCGGCGTGGCCGGCTCACCTGGGCAGGGTCTCGCCGCACAGGTCCTTGCCGCCGAGCAGCAGGATGCACGGCAGGTCCTCCAGGTCCTGGAAACTCCGGGGCACCCAGTCACTGTCCTCCACGCCCCGCCACGCCTGCGCGCAAGACAAAGATCCCCCGTGTAGCCTTAACAAACCGCTGGGGCAAGTGCCATTAGCGAACACCTATGAAGGCCAGCACGACGAACCGGAACGCGACGTGGACCACGCCGGCCGCCTTTGTCTCCCCAACGCGGACGTCAGGAGGGGCCCAGGGCGCGCGCACGCACCGGCGTCGCGCCGGCACCCGCCGCGCCGGCACCCGCCGCGCCTCGCTCACCCGGAGCCGAGCCAAGAAGTGTTTCCCGACGGTCAGGTCCACGCCGTTGGCACCCGCCAGCACCACCTCGAAGCGGTAGCTCATGCCGAGGCGGCGCCGCACGTCCAGGAGGCGCTCGTAGGCGACCCGCGCCAGCTGCGGCGACGGCACGCGCAGCAGCAGCATGGGGCCGCGCCCGCTGGCGCACGGGGGGCCCGCGACGGCGCCCAGCATGGCGCGCGTCTCCACCGTGCACTGCGCCTCGGCGCCGTGCGCGCCCGCCGTCGCCAGCAGCGCCGCCGCGTAGTGCCGCACGAGCAGGTAGGTGCGGATCACGGCGCTGTGCAGGCGCGGGAACCTGCGGGGGGGAGGTGGCGCCGTGAGCATCGTGGGGGGAGGGTGGGGGTTGGTGGCGAGATCGGCCGCGTGGGTTTTCCGTCGTGCTGCACGGCTCTCTGTGTCTGTTGGTGGGATGTCCGACCATTCCCGGCGTTAAACGGCCAGCAACAAACAGCACTTTTCTTAGGCAAAGTCATAAGATCTTGGGAAACGAGACGGTGGGAGGAAACAAGCTGCGACGCAGTGGTTTCATTCCCGCCCACAGCAGTGTGTAAAAATCGGCTGGGAAGCTCCCAGCAAGCGGTGCGAGACCTGGGACATCGTGCCGGGCGACACGTGGCTCAACCCGAGGCGGTGCCGGAGGGATCTGATGCCGAATCTCATGCGACGGTCGCGTGGATCAAGCGAGCAAAATCCCCCGGCGGGCTCTCCTTGCCGCCGCTCGCGATGCCATTTTGAAACCCGCCTAACGGAGAAGATAAATGGGAGTGAAATGTGAGGAAACCGCCACCCCCACCACCGCTGCAGGCGCCCCCCCCCCCCCCCCCCCCCGCTCGCAAGTAAATCCCAGGATTAAGAACGGCGCGGGGATGAAAAAACAACTTCTCTCCGCATTGTTCACCAGCAGTAAAATTGCAACGCCCACGCACGGTTGCCAGAATAAGAAATGCATTGCCTTCATATATAATAAAACAACTTTGTTGTCTTAAATTACACGGCGCTAATGCCACTGCCGTAAACTCCGGATTTAGGCCAATTTCAGCGGCTACGATTTAAGATTGAGGATTGCACGGCCTCAATGAGACTCGTGGTGAAACGCAGCGACGTGGGGCCCGGGAAGAGCCATTTAGTGGCATCTACCTGGGTCCTCGTGGTCATGGTAACTGGTGACAGAGACGCATGGTGCTCTAGAGAAGTGGATTACCCTCACCCGAACCCCTAATCCCTATAACCCCTCACCCACTAACCCTGCAATCTCATCCTAAGTCCTAAACCCCATAACTACTGCACCCATACCCGCATAACCCCTTCTCTCCCTAACCCACGATACCTCACCCTAAACCACGAAGTCTCATCTTAATCGAGATCCTAGATCTACTGTACCCCTATCCCCCAAAACCCGTTCCTCTATCCAATGACCCCGAAGCCAATCCGCGACCCCTGGAAACTGCTCCGCCCCTGGTCCCCGCTACGCTCCGTGGCGGCGCCCGTGTCGCTAACGGTGCCGTAAATCCTGGCGCGGCGTTTACGAGCGGAGTGGGCGGAGGAGGCAGTTGGGGTGGGAGGGAGGGGGGAACTTGTGGCCGGATCAGGGAAATTTATTCGGGAGCTGCTACACCGCGTGTGCGTCACCGTGACAGCGTGTGGAAATTTGTGACGGGCGCGTGGGCACGCGTGCGTGTAGGGTGTGTGCGTGCATGGGGCGCACCTCTCCAGCAGCGTCTCCGCGAGGCTCTCGAAGGCCTCGTCATGCCGCATCGCCGGCAGCCGAGTGGGCGAGTGCATCTCTCGCCGGAATTCGCTCAAGCCAAAGTACTCGCTCCCCAGCAGGTGTGGGCCCTCCTGCCGCACCTGTTAAGAGGTGGGGGGAGGAGGAAGCATCGTCACGTGGAGATGGAGCCGTGAAATCGTGTCGCGCGCAGGAGCGGGACGGATTGTTGGATTGCAGGGTCATCAGAGAGAACGATGGCTTGGGGAGGCCTTCATGCATCCATTACGGCTGAGGATGGGCATGTACGAGAAGGATAACAATGCCATTCTTTGAGCCAGAAGAGGCTCGTTCATAGGCAGGGCTCTTGCAGGCCACGGTTCACGTGAGGGTGAGCGAACGAGCGGACGAGCGAACGGTGCGCCTCGAGTCCGTGTGCGAGTGACCAAGCGAGTGGTTGAGGGACCGAGCGAGCGAGGAGGCAACACGCGGGGGGCCAGGGAGCTGGCAAGCGAGCGAGCAACCAACGTGTGGCTTGCGTGCTCGCGAACCCTCACCGGGTCGGTGAGCGGCCAGTAGACCTCGTTGTAGGGCGCGATGCGGGAGTGCTGGCTCTGCAGGCCGTAGGGCGCCGCCGACACCTGCAGCGTCAGCAGGTTCGCCGCCTCGCGCGCCTCCCGGCAGTTCACCAGCCGGTCGGCGAGCCCCGTGTAGACGTCGCCATGGGAACCCGACATCGACGCGCCGCTGCGGGGAGCGACGGTGGCCCCGGTTAAGTGAAGGCCGCACAAATTTCCGTGAGCCTCAAGCGGAACGCACGGCGGGTCGGCGGCCCCTTCCTCCTCACCCCTACTCGCCGAGCGTACGCGCGCAACACAGCGGCGACAACCTCCCCGGACTTGCCTTGCCGAATTGCGGCCATTAGGGGGCGCGGGGGAAGGGTGCGAGCGCGGCATGGCCGCCTCTGGGTGGCGACGTCTGTCCGCAAACTATGCCACCGACGGTGCCGCCTTGAGACCAAAGCACGGAGCCTGGGTCTCCGTCTCCCACGACTCCGAATCCCAGAGCCCCCCGTGCGTCACCCCGTGTCTCTCCATCTCCCTGCGCTCTCACGCCGCATCCCCCCGGGTCTCTGCATTGCCCCGTATCCCTGCGTCTCCGTGTGCCCCGCGTCCCCACGTCCTCCTGTCCCCCCGAGTCCCCCCAAGTCTCCGCGTGTCTCCGCGTGTCTCTGCGTGTCTCTGTCTCTGCCCGTCCCACGGCGCGTCCCGAGCGTCGTGCCCCCCGCGTCCCCGCACCTCGTGGTGTCGGCGTGGGCCTGGTCGTGCACCAGCACGAACAGTGTGTAGGGGTTGCGGCGCACGCGGTGCAGAAAGGCCTCGAACTTGGCCTGCCCGTCGCCGTCGAGGCGCGCGACATAGCGCTCGCCCTTCTGCGACCCCTCCTCCACGCCCAGGTCAGCCAGGATGCCTGCGGTCACCGGGGTCACAGGGTCAACACGGTTCACATTTCCCTTGCTGCTGTTTCTGTTGCACCGCTCCCCTTTGGAATTCCACCCCTCCGCTCGCCTCGTCGTCATCCAATTTCCAAAGTTCTTACAATAACCTTGCTCAATTAAATAAACACGTTACACCCTTATCTATTCCTCCTTCAACAGCGGTGGTTTTTGCTGGACGCTTGCAATTTTGGCCTTGGCTCAGCAACTGTGATAAATAAACACACCCAGGAATGTTCATGTCCCAGGAGAGCAGCCGCCATGAAAACTAGGACTGGAGGCAACCCTACTGTGGCACCGCCAATGGACCTGGCAGGATGGTGTAGATTTGGGGAGCCGGGTGGCAGTGCCTCCCCCCGCTCACCGGACTGGTTGAGCCGCTCCAGCGTTTGCCGGTAGAGGCTCTCGGAGGGCGGGATCAGAAGCAGGAAGTGGACGCGGCCGAAGCGGCCCAGGTCTAGGTGCTGCGTGGCGGCGTCGGCGATGGCGCAGACCTGCGACAGCAGCTTCCGGGCCACCCAGAACTGCGCCGGATGCAGGCGGAACCCTTCCGGGGGGGACACTGGGGGACCATGCGGGAGGAAAAGAGAGGGGGGTGACGGGGGGGTAGCGACGGAACGCACGGTCAGGCCGGGGGAGCTCACGGGTGAGTAGCGAGCGGAGCTCACGAGTGTGCGCAGGCGGTGCAACTGCACCGGGCCCCGCGAGGGCGGTGGGCTACGCAAATGGGTGGGGGCGGGGGGTATGAGATGCAAAGCCTCATTCCACTTTTTTTATCGGGACCCATGCCAATCCCGCTCTGCCACTGATGAAAAAGTCGATTCAGGCCACTATTTAAGATTCAAGCTCTGGGGTTCGGGTTAGGGTCAAGGGCTAGAGTCAAGGGTTAGGGTAAAGGGTTAGGTTCAAGGGTTAGGGTCAAGGGTTGGGGTCAAGGGTCAGGGTTAAAGGTCGAGGTTAAAGGTCGGGGTTAAAGGTCGGGGTTAAAGGTCAAGGGTTACCTGTGTCGGCGGGGGGTAGGGCGACGGCCGCTTCCTGGTCGGCGCAGAGCGGCCGCCCCCCCTCGTCGTCGCCGTAGGGAGCGAAGACGCGTCCCTCCCTCTCCTCCTCGAAGCGGTCCAGCAGCCAGTCGAGCTCTCGCTCTACACATGTCACCACGACAACGAGCGTCCCGACATGATAACCGCACGCTCCTCTCATTGCTCTGCACGTTTCAAAAGAAAGCGACTTCACGCCCCAATGAGTGTCGAGGCACCGGTGCTCGCCTCCCACTCACAGCCCCGAGCAAGCGGCGAGTCTCTCCACATGACAAGCACTCTTGACTTCCCCACAAAGCGGTACCCCTTTTATCGACCCTGGAGGGACGATGGGTTGAGTCAACCCCCAACCTGCTTGGTTGTACTGAGTTCGTTGTCCTTCTCCCGCACCATTGATTAGCACGTTTGGCTACGTACGGTGCGAAAAAAGTTCAACGTACATTCACACACACAACCAGAATTCGAACTTGTGACTTTCCCATTGCGAGCTGCTCGCTCTAGCGCGGAGCCAGCTGGGCGGTTGAGATCGTTAGTGCATCATCTCCGTCCGTCTGTCACAATGTAAATAACATGCGAGTATTAAGTCGCTGTAAAAATTCGACGGAATTTATCAAATTATAAATAAGCACTGAATGGGCCAAAGCCGCGTCAGGCGGTGGCGAGGCGGCTGCGGGCGACGGGGGTCTCCTCACCGTGTGAGCTGCACTGGAAGTGAGAAGCGAGGATGCCGACTTTGCCGGTAATGAGCTCGTAGCTGATCTCCTTGAGGCACTCGGCCACGGACAGCATGTTCTCTGCTATGGCGCGAGCCTGCAGGGGGCCTGGTGAGCAGGGCAACCACCACCACCAACAACAGCCAGGGTCACAACTACACAACCACCAGCACCACAACTACACAACCACCAGCACCACAACTACACAACGACCACCACCAACAACAACAGCCAGGGTCAGAACTACACAACCACCAGCACCACAACTACACAACCCCCAGCACCACAACGACACAACGACCAACATCACAACTACACAACCACCAGCACCACAACTACACAACCACCAGCACCACAACTACACAACCACCAGCACCACAACTACACAACCACCAGCACCACAACTACACAACCACCAGCACCACAACTACACAACCACCAGCACCACAACTACACAACCACCAGCACCACAACTACACAACCACCAGCACCACAACTACACAACCACCAGCACCACAACTACACAACCACCAGCACCACAACTACACAACCACCAGCACCACAACTACACAACCCCCAGCATCACAACTACACAACCACAGCACACGACCATCATCACCGCCTCCACCACTATCGCTCGCGCGGTGCCGTGACCGCCACGGCCGCGCGTACCGGTGACGATGACGCAGAACTCGCTGCCCCTCGCGCACGACGTGCACACCACCACCACGTAGCGCGGGCGGTTGAACCGCGCCGCCGCCGTCGTCGTCCGGCCGCCGCCGACCGACGGCCCCCACGCCGCCCCCGCCGTCGCGGCGCCGCCGTCTCCTCCGTGAAGCCGACCCGGCGCCGCGGGCCGCGGCGAGCGCGCCAGCGAACCGAGCGTCTCGGCCAGGCCCTCGCCCAGCGAGCCCTGCGTCGCCAGCACCCGCACGGCGCCGCCCGACGGGCACGCCGCGAGGCGCGCCAGCCAGGGCAGCTGGGGCGGCGAGATGCAGGGCGGGGGTGCCGGACCGGGGGCGCCGCCGCCGCCGCTCACGATGACGCCGCCCAGAGACGAGTGGATGTGCGAGGCGTCCGGGCCGCCCTGCTGCTGCTGCTGCTGCTGCTGCTGCTGCGTGCGCAGCAGGATCTGATCAAACTCCTCCCGGAAGGGGGGGCGGTCTCCGCCTGTAGCGGTAGGGGGGTACGGAGAAGGTAGGGGGGCTCCGTCAACGTCCGTCCACGGGGGGCCGCGTCTCGCCCGATCGGTGCCACGGTGAGGGCGGGGGCGAGCGGAACACGCGCTCACCGAGCTGGGCGAGGTAGTGCAGGGTGAGGAGGATCTGCGTCTCGATGGGCAGGGGCGGCGCGGAGGGCGCGAGGCCCAGCGCCTCGGCGGCGCGCGGCGGGGGGAACTGCGGGGAGCCGTAGCAGCTCATGAGCGCCGGGCTCACCACGATGTCGCCCACGTCGCCGTACAGGTAGGGCAGCGTGCCGTGGCCTGCGCGCGGTGACAAAATTCGGTATTGCGGCGCAAACAGCGTTAAAAGCACGGCGTCACAGCGGTCGCGACACGCGCGGCGTTACGGCGACTCCCGGTGAGCCGTGGCACGAGGCCCGGATCGCCGGGCAGGCGCCCTCCTCACCTATCAGGATGACGGGCCGAGTTCCGCAGACGTCCGCCAGGCTGTCGGGCACCACGACGCTCTCCCCGGCGAGCGGCGCCGCCCCGGCCACGCCGCCGCCCACCATGGAGGTCGGCACCGCACTCGCCGCCAGCGCCGGATCTGTGCGGCATCACGGCACGTGGGGACGCTTACAACACGAAGGCGAGGGAGGCACGACGACGTGCGCACGTGCGTGTACGCGCACGTGTACGCGCACGCTTACAGGCGTGCGTTGCGCACGTGCCGCTCGTTACCTGTGCGGCTTGAGTGGTGCACCGGCGGAGGGGGACCACCGCTGGTCCCCACGCCGGAGGGGGACCCTGGGGACCAGCCCCTGTGACGCTTCTTAGGGGGCCCCGCCGACGACACTCCTGGGGGCACCGAAATACGGAGATACACGTGGACGTCATTCTTGACCGCACGAGCGCAAGCACGCTTGCGCATACACGAACATAATCGCCCAAAGGCACGCGCGCGCGCACGCGCGCACGCGCGCACAACAGGCACGCACGTGCTCGGATTTCAACATCGACCAAAACACCGGCGCCGGACTCACCGTTGTCCATGGCGGAGGCGACGCCCGTTGGCGAGGGTGGCCGCAGGTGCGTGGAGGAGAGCTGGTTGCCGCCAGGGGCCCCCCGCGGGCCTGCGGGCCCCCCCCCCGGCATCCCCCCGCCGCCGTTCCCGTTGACCCGGATGGCGGAGGAAACGTGGTAAGCTCCGTAGTGAGCTGCTGCACGGGGTCGGAGGGGTCACGGGGCACGGAGGAGGAAGCGAGGCGTGAGCCTGGGCGGAAACGCGGCCACCGCGTTTGCCGCAGCGACTGCCCGTGGCCGCAGTGACGTCGAATTTGACGGCGCGGTGCGATATAAAGGCTCGGGATATGACGATCGTCACGACGATCAGATCCCGTAACTCTGTAATTAGCCAGTGGAGTGCCTGCCGTCGTCGCCACGACGCGTCCTGCCCGGTCAACACGGCGTCTCTAACCCGTGCGTGCAGTCCAAACGTGGAAAAGAAAAGCGATCGTGTAGGATACGTGGTAGTGTCGGCGCACAGCACGAGCTCCGCGCACGAGCAAGCGCCGGCGCTCGGGGTCGTTCTGAACGACGACGCCCTGAGGAACCTCGACCCTCAAACGACCGCGACGTCGGCGACCCATTCGGCCGACGCAGTCGTGCCGAGCGAGCGAGCGCCCGACGTTGTTTCGGATTCTTGGGCGTCCTCACCGATGGCCGAGGGTCGGGCGAGCGCCACCGCCTGCGGGTGGAACGCGGGGCTGGGCTTGAGCACCGAGTGGTGGCGGAACGGTTCGGGCGTCGCCAGGAACGACGCCGGCGCCGAGGCAGAGCCCAGCCCGCCGTCGCCGATGCCGCGCTCCGCCGCGACCCCTACGGACGGCGTGCGGGAGAAGGAGGCCATCACGGCGCGACCGCCACGAGGGCGAGCGCGGGCACACGCGGGGCGCGGTGGCGCCGGGATCGCCGCTCCGCACTCGATCGTCGCCGCGCTTACCGAGTTGCGTGCCAGCGAGACGGGGCCCTCCCGATGCGCCGGGCACCTCGTCCGGTGCCGGTAACGGGAGGAGCGTGGCGACGTGGGGCCCTGGGGTTGACGGGCCCCCTCCCGGAGGTGGCGCGGCGTACAGACGACCCCGGTACTCTACAACGGCGTGGGTAGGGGAGGAGTGCGGTCACTCGCCGCGTGCGAGCGCACGTGCTCGGTGCGCGTGCGTGTCCGTGTCCCCATCTGTGCCGACGTCCGCCTATTTGCATGTCTGTGCCTGTACGTTGGTGTAAATGCCCGTGCGGCTGTGTGCCCGTGTCCCCCGGTGCCCCGGTGCCACGCTGCCCGTGCGGCCGTGTGCGGCCGTGTGCGGCGGCATCGCGTACCGTTCCAGAAGATGAGCGGCCCCTTGACCAGCAGCCCTTGCGCGTTGCGAACCAGGAAGTACTTGAGATGCTTCTGCTTCTTGGGCTGCGTGGTAAGCCTCAAATTGATGTGGTTGGAAAACTCGGTGAAATAGCGGAATCCCCTCTCTCCACACCCCATGCAGTTCCCGGAGAAACCTGCGGTCCACACAACAACGAACGCAGGTCGTTAAAGGCAGGGGGTTCGTTTCAGCCAGGGCTGTCTGGGCGAGTGCGTCGTGTTCGTGTGTGCGCGTGTGTGTGTTGGGGGGCGGTAGTGTAGCGTTTAGTGCGCCGTGCTACAAACCTGGCCAAATGGGGGCTCTGGACAGGTGTGTTGAAGCTACCTGGTCTCTCGCTCCGCACGAAGCTTCAGGTCTTCTAGACCACAGACATTCCCTCCCTTCTCTACGCTTGCGAAACGTGGACCCCCCAATGGAACATCTTCGCCGGTTAGAAACATTTATGCTGGCCTGCCTACAATCCATTTTGGGTTTAACCAGGTTGGATTGTGTGAGGAGCTCACATATCCTTGAACGGTCTGGACAAAGTCCCATCGGTGAGCTCCTCCAGCAGGTAAAGCTGCGTTGGCTGGGTCATGTAGCCCGCATGCCCAGCCCCCGCATGTCTAAACAGCTTTTGTTCGGCCGGATGGAGGGGGCTAAACGGGTGCGGCACGGGCTAGAGAAGACATGGAGTGATGTGGTACCGGAGGATCTGGAGCTGAGTGGACTTGCTGATGACTGGTACCAGCGGTGTCAAGATCGGCCTCTGTGGAGGAGGCTCGTGAAGGACGCTACTGGGCAGTTGTAGGCAGTCGCCCTCCAACAACAACGGAGGAGGGAGGAGCGACGCTCACAACAACGTGCGGAGCGCTGGGTGGCTAAAACACAGCAAGTTGGCACAGTAGGCACAGTAGGGGGCATAGGTGGTGCATCAGCCAGTCATCTCAGTCATCTCAGTCAGTCGACCCGTGGCACCTGGGTCTGTCCCGTGACCTCGTGCCAGCGGGCGTTTGACACTTCACGTGGCCTCAACATGCACATAGCCTGGCACAAGCGTCGTGGGGATGTCACCGACACTTCGTGCCGAATGGCGGTTGTTGTGTGTTGGGGGGCGGTTGTGTAGCGTTTAGTGCGCTGTGCTACAAACCTGGCTACCCGAGTTCGATTCCCGCTGACGGCCAACACCGGTGAAAATTATCGGAACCGGTCCTGCACCTGAGCCTCAAATGAGTATCTGGCACGGTGCGTAAACACCGCCACTGCAGAGACAAAGGCGGCCGGAGCATGTTGCTGGTCAACCACCACTTTTTGTGTGCCGTGCCGGCCTTCAAAGGTGCTCGCGCTAACAGCACTTGCTCCAACAGTCTATTAAGGCTACAAGGGGGGATCTTTGTGTTCATGTGGAGGAGGCTCGGGATGGACGCTACTTGGAAGTTTGAGGCAGTGACACTCCAGCAACAACAGAGGGCGGAGTGACACTCAAAACAATAAGTGGGGTGCTGGGCTGCCTAACACAGCAGGCTGGCACAGTGGGGAGCTCAGGTGGTGCATCTGCCAGTCCTCTGCCAGGCAGTAAACCCACGGCACCAGGGTCTGATCTGTGACCTCCTGCCAGCGAGCCTTTAGACGCTTCAACATGGTCTCACAGTGCACCGAGCCTAGTAGAAGCGCTGCTGTGACATCATCGTCACTCATTGCGGAATGGCATCTAACGTTGTTGCTTGCTGTGCGTGCGTGCATTACCCAGCAGCGCCTGCTTGCCAGTCTCGTCGGGCAGGAAGCGGCGATCGACGGCGCATACGAGCACATGCTCGGGCAGCGAGGGCGACTTGGCCCCGACGAGGTGGAACCCGGGAGGCACCTCCAGCGCGTCGGCGCACAGTGACACCAGGCGCAGGTCCTTGCCGGCCTGGCAGAAGCCTGCTCGTGGGCCAGCACGCGCATGCACACGTCCACACGGCTACACGTACGCACATACATATACACACACACACCATGCGCACACAGGCACAGGCCTGCCAGGCATATACACAGACGGATACAAGCACATGCAAAGACAAAGATCCCCCAAGTAGCCAATAAAGACTGTTGGGGAAAGTACTGTTAGCAAACGCCCATGAAGGCCGGTTCGACGCACGATGATGTGGTGTGGCCAGCACCACGCCCGGCCACCTTTGTCTCCACAGTGCTGATGTTCACACACCATACCAGGTACGCATTAGGTCGACACATGAGCAACTGGTGCCATGATTAAGGGCCATTGCCCAAGCCTTTCATGAATATTTCCTTTAAGGCCACAGCATTACTGGCGAATGTTTTGAATGCTTAGGTGGAGTTGACCTGGAGCAGGTCCAAGACCGGTTCAAATATTCACCACTGATGTTGGCTTTGGCCAGACATCAAACTCACTGGGGTTGTGGTGCAGTGTGCTAACTACTGCACCACTGCTCCACCCTGGGTCGCACACACACACAGAGGAACGCGATGATCCTGCCACCTGCGTCCACAACAACGACGACGACGATGATGATGACGGTTGTGCAAGGCTCTCACCGTCGGTGGTGCAGCACCCTTCTGGGGGGGGGTTGGGTGGGTAGAGGGTGGGGGGGCTGTTGGAGTCTGAGAGCCGCTCCTCCCCCTCCTCGTTCTCCTCGTTAGAACCAGAACCCTCCTTGCCAACGCCCTCGTCGTGAGCGGCGCCGCGACGCCCCCCGCCTCGCCGCCCCCCCACGCCCCCGCGCCCCCCCCCAGCGTCTCCGCAAACCCCCTCCCCCAGCTCCTGCTCCAGCTCCTCCACTGTGGGCTTCACATCTGAGACACGAGGAGACACAAGGATGATGACACGAGGCAAGAATGTGAGACAAACGTGAAGGGAGACAGGGAGACACGCGAGGACACCTGGGGACACGAGAGACAGCAGGGCGTGCGATGAAAAGTGAACATCTGCTGTTGTGGATGTTCAGTGGCCGGCATTGTACACAAGACTGCACATACGGCGTCGGGCAGCACAGGGCAGCTCGAGGTAGTGAAGTTCCACTCGGGACCACATTGTGTTGCGATACGGTCCAGCGTAGCGAGGTGAAGGTTGCGATGCCGCTATACATTCCGGGTGTACGTTGTGTTGCGCGACGCAGTCCACGTGCGCCGGCCGCGCTGTACCCTCGGGGGAGCCGGGGTCCTGCTCGCAGTCGAGGTAGAGCTGCGAGAAGACGGGGCGTGGCAGCGCGCTACCCGAGCGCAGCGACGCCTCGATGGAGCTGTGCAGCGCCTCCTCGAACCGCGCCGACTTGAGCTGCCCCGCGTACGCGTTACCCATCCTGCACCGCCGCAGAGCAACCGCACAGCCACCGTCACAACTGCCGCCGCGTAACCGCGCCTCCGCACGGCCCGTCGCCGTTACAACCGCGTGGAGGCCACCTTGGGCCTCCACCTTGGGCCTCCACCTTGGGCCTCCACGGCGTTGGGTTCCGCGTGGAGCCTCAACCCCCAGAGTGAGGGGGGGGGGAGCTTTTGTTCCGAGGCGCACTCCCCGCCACCCCCACTCGGCTCCAACTCGGCAAGCCGTACAGCTGTGGCAGTTGGCATCCAATTAATTTAAGTGGCCGCGAGTGCTGCCCTACGGAGATGGGGGGCGGGGGGAGAGGAGTGGGCCCTCCCTGTGGCCACCTCCTGCTCGCTCCCCCCTTCCCACCGGTGCCCCCCAAGACCCCAAGAGGCGGAGGGTACAGAACGGGAGAGTTAACAAGTTGGGGGGGGAGTTTCATGAACCCACCGGTCCCCCCTCTCCCCAGCAGGGGCCATGTGTGTGGAAGGACATTCCAGCCTCTGCTCCCTCTTTGTTGTGTGTCCTTCTTGTTGGTTTTATCTCCTGTCCCCTCCTTCTGCACCCCCCACCCCTCGCACCCCCCTCCCCCACCACCACTGCCACTACCACGGCACATCAGATGGCCCAGATCTGGAGGCAGAGGGAGAGAGGGGGGAGAGGGAGGGGAGAGCGGGGAAGATGCCGACCGCTGCGCTGGCTTGAAAAGGTGGCTCCCCTTGGGGGTTGGGGGAGCAGATAACCCTGACTCCCCCCAGCGCAATGCCCCTCCCCCCCTCCTCCTCCTGCCCCTCCCCCACCCCTGGCCAGCAGGCACATATGGCCACCGCTCTGGCCGTGGGCGACGTGTGGGCGAGTCGGGGGAATGAGCGAGGGGTGAGCAGAGTGGTGAGCAGAGTGGTGAGCAGAGGGGTGAGTGGAGGGGTGAGTGGAGGGGTGAGCAGAGTGGTGAGTGGAGGGGTGAGTGGAGGGGTGAACGGAAGGGTGAGTTGAGGGGTGAGCGGAGGGGTGGGCGGAGGGGTGAGCAGAGGGGTGAGTAGAGGGGTGAGTGGAGGGGTGAACGGAAGGGTGAGCGGAGGGGTGAGTGGAGGGGTGAGCGGAGGGGTGAGCAGAGGGGTGAGCGGAGGGATGAGCAGAGGGGTGAGTGGAGGGGTGAGCAGAGGGGTGAGCAGAGGGGTGAGTAGAGGGGTGAGCGGAGGGGTGAGAGGAGGGGTGAGCAGAGGGGTGAGTGGAGGGGTGAGTGGAGGGGTGAGTGGAGGGGTGAGCGGAGGGGTGAGAGGAGGGGTGAGCGGAGGGGTGAGCGGAGGGGTGAGCAGAGGGGTGAGCGGAGGGGTGAGAGGAGGGGTGAGCGGAGGGGTGAGAGGAGGGGTGAGCAGAGTGGTGAGCAGAGGGGTGAGTGGAGGGGTGAGCAGAGTGGTGAGCAGAGGGGTGAGTGGAGGGGTGAGTGGAGGGGTGAGCAGAGGGGTGAGTAGAGGGGTGAGTGGAGGGGTGAGCGGAGCATGTGAGGTGTCTGAAGGTGTCGCTTCTAAAGGGCACGTGTTCACTACAGTGTAGAGTTAATTCAAACTGCTCTTTGGGGATTTCGGCCTTCCTCAGTATAAACTCTTGATGAATGCACATCGACAAACTCAGAAAAAAGTGATTAGTGATGAGGAAGATGTGTGTTTTGATGTGTGTGTCTAGAGGTGTGTGGGGAGTGGTAGTGTAGCGGTAAGTGCCCTAAGCTACGGACATGGCCACCCGAGTTCAATTCCCGCTCACGGCCAACGCCAGTGACAATAATTTGAATTGGTCCCGAGCCTTCCCTAGGTCGACTCAGCCTCAAATGAGTGTCTGGTGCGGTGTGTAGACATCGTCACTTCGGGAGACAAAGGCGGCCGGGCGTGGTACTTCATAGGTGCTTATGAACAGCACTTACCCCAACAGTATGTTAAGGCTACATGGGGGATCTTTGTCTTTGGTGCAATTTGTGTGTGGGGGGGAGCGGTGGTGTCGTGGTTGTGGTGAGAGAGGAGCGACCACCCCTCAACATCAACAACTCGGCGTCTGCTCACCCCACTCGCCCTGCCCACCGAGCCTCACCTCCCACTCGACCAGCCAGCGAGTGGTGAGCACAGAGCGGACAGAGATCCCTGTGAGGCCCAGCCCTAGGGACACGCCTGTGGACGCGGGTGACTCAGCTGGCAATGTTTGACAGCCACTGTGGACCAGCCTCTACCAGCAAGGTCCCTCCTTCCCATTGTATCTCCGTTTGCTCGGTGTTTGTTGGTCTCGTTTAGTGTGGTGCTGCACAGCGCTGGAGTGGGCTGAAGGATGGTGTGCAGCAGGATACGTACGACTGGTGCTGTCGTTTGTGATGTGGGTTTGTGTGTGCGGTGCGGTGTGGGGGCCAGAGCAGTGGAGTAGACCTGAGTAGGTAGGAGTGAGTGGGGGTGAGTGTGGTGAGGCTGGGGTGGGTGTAAGTGGAGGTGGGCATAGATATGAGGGTGTATGTGTGTGTAACAAGCTCAGTGTGTGCGAGAGGCTGGTAACCCTTTCAATGTTTAATACCAACCATTACCAGTAACCTCGGTGGAAAAACACGCACAGACACACACACGCGTGCACGCACGCACACACACGCACGTGCTCTCACACACGCACACACACACACTACCATGCCACTATGCAGAGCGCCAACAGATTTCCTTGACCCCCGACCCCGGCCCATGCCCGACCCACTATTTGTCGCCAAAAATGAGCAAGGTCACCTAATCCAATAAAGGTCGCGGCCTCTCACCCCCTCCCTTCACCGCAGTGCCCCCTGCCCCCCCTCCTCCTCCTCCTCACAAGGACATCGCTGACCCCTCCCCCCAATCACTTCCAATCTCACAGCCACAGCCTCCCCCCCCACCCTCCCCACTGCGTCATACGCAGAAGGTCACCAGTTTTGTGGGCCCAGGTCTCCCCGGCGCGGCACCAGGTTTCCGCACGGAGCCCCCGCGGGCCGGGACGGTGCCGCTCGCGTCTCCCCCTTCCGGCCCGGTGACCCAAGCGAGGAGGCCCGCTTATCCCGTCCGTGCGTCTCTCCCCCGGAAAAGGGGACCCTTCGCCGAGTCCCCCGGAGCGCCCGGGCGGCGGTGGCACGCGCCCACGCTCGCTCGCGGCCGTGGGCTTCGGGGCGCGGACATCGATCGTTATCGACGCGGCGCCCGCGGCGATCCTCTCCGCGTTAGGGACGAGAGCCCCCCCCCCCCCCGGGTGCGCCCTGCCCCCGAGCCCCTCGGAGCCCCAGAAACCCCGCCCACCGCGGGACCGGGCCCCCCCCCTCTTTCCAAACAGGAAGCCACGAGCGGCCACGCCGGTGGCATTTGAGCGCCGCGATGCCATTTGATTTGGGGGGGTGGGGGGGGGGTGAGGTCTCCGTGGAAGGCGCAGTCTCACCCTGCAAAAATTAAATCTCGACTTCGATCGCTCGGTGAATTATTTGCCTCGCGGTGAGCACGGTGACACAACTCCAGGCTCGGTGCAGGGGCGGAACCCCGGTTTCCCGTCAGCCCCGTTTGGTAACGGTGCGGATCGGCGCAGTCCGCGTGGAATTGCCGGCGGCATCGCGAACCGTCACCTGTCTCCACGCCGGCGTTGCTCAGTGGTGCTCCGCTGGCCGCTCCATGGCTCCGCGGTCGTGTCAGTGGTTGAGCTCCTCCCTCCTCACCGCCATCCGCGCCGCCACAGCACCGCAAGCGCCGACGCCGCCAGGCGCTCGGCTAAATGACACAGACGCGCAGATTGGGCGGCACGCGTGAGGCGGAGAGCACGGTGATGCGCGCAGCCACGCACGCGCACGCGGCCAAGGTTTATTCGCTCACCGAATATTCCGAGGGTTTCTAAAAGACTGGAATAGGCGGCAGGTGACGAGCAACCAGTCAGACGTAGACCCGACGTGATGTGCCAGGTGCAAAAATAATATCCGGGTCACCGACCCGGCCGAGAAAAGGCACAGCCCTGGAACTGACCGCTCGTGCCACTGCTGGCGGAAGAGTCCCCTCCAGAGGGAGCTCCAGAGGGCCCCTCTACAGGGTATGAGGCCTTCTCTACCACGCTGGACAAACATCTTGGGAGAGGTCGTCGGAGCACCCACACGTCACCCCACAACACGCAACCTGTCAACGGACTGCATTTCTGCCTGACAGGCCGAGATGAAAAAGCCTTGCGCGCAAACACGGGACACCCCGAGACTCTGCAGACTCCCTTATCCCATCCTCCTCGGCCACCTGCGCCCAGTGTCCACCCGCGCATCCCAACGGAGACCCTAAGAGAAACGCACGCTTCGGAATTCGCCGACGACGCGTACGCGCCACGGCTCCTGGCCACGGCTCTCATCGTCAAACTCAGCCAAGCTCTCGGGAGTAAAGCCAAGTGTGAACTGGGGAGTCGCGTTTCCACGCCGACTCTTCCCCCCAACGGACGGAGCCGGCGCCGCCTCGACACGGAACGTCAACAACCGTGGCGAGCTCCGGAGGGCAGCCCGAGGAGGGCAAGGGCAGGGTTGAAGGGTCCCCGAGCGGCTTCGAGCGGACGCTGCGCGAAGAGGGGCGCGGGGCGGGTGTGCAGGTGGCCCGTTCGGGGTCAGCGTGAACCTCAATCCACAGCGCAGGCCTCGTGGCTTATGGACGCGCGTGTTTGTGCGTGTTCACGTGTGTGTTTGTCGTGTAACGTGTGTGTGCGTTTGGGTGTGCATGTGTGCGTGTGTTTATGGGGGAGCGGTAGTGTAGTGGTTAGCGCGCTGCGCTACGAACCCGGCGACACGGGTTCCATTCCCGCTCACGGTCAACAACAGTGACGATAATCTGAACCGGTTCTGGGCCTTCCCTCAGTCGACTCAGCCTTACACGAGTACCTGGTGCGATGTGTAAACATCACCACGAGGGAGACAAAGGCGCCCGGGCGTGGTGCTGGTTCCCTACCCCCTCGTGTGCCGTGCCGGCCTTTATAGGTGCCACTCGCTAACAGGACTTGCCCCAACGGTCTGATAGGGCTATACGGGAGATTTTTGTCTTTGTTGTTTTCTTCATGTGTGCGTATGTACATTTCTGTGTTTGTGTGTCCGTGTGTCATATTTGCGCGTGTGTTTATGTGTAATGTGTGTTTATGTGTAATGTGTGTTTATGTGTAATGTGTGTATGTGTGTAATGTGTGTTTGTGTGTAATGTGTGTTTATGTGTAATGTGTGTTTATGTGTAATGTGTGTTTGTGTGTAATGTGTGTTTATGTGTAGTGTGTGTTTATGTGTAGTGTGTGTTTATGTGTAATGTGTGTTTATGTGTAATGTGTGTTTGTGTGTAATGTGTGTTTATGTGTAATGTGTGTTTATGTGTAATGTGTGTTTATGTGTAATGTGTGCGTGTGTGTGTGTCAGGGGAGTGGTCGTGCAGTGGTGAGCGCTCTGCGATATGAACCCGGCAACCCGAGTTTGATTCCCGCTCACGGTCAACAACAGCAACGATTATCTGAACCGGTCCTGGGCCTCTCCTGGTTTGACTCAGTATCAAATGAGTATCTGGTGTGGTGTGTAAACATCAGCACTAGGGAGGTGGCTGGGCGTGGTTCTGGTCTTCATAGGTGCTTGCTAACAGCACTTGCCCCAATAGTCTATTAAGGCTATCCAGGGGATTTTTGTCGAAATGTGTGTTTTTTGTGTGTATCTGCTTTTGTGGATGTGTTTTTACGTTTGTGTGTGTGTGTGTGCGCGTTTGTGTGCCAGCGAGTTCATGTGTGCATGCACAAACCAAAACACATCCTCCCCACCATCACTTACACCGCACGCACGTATTGCCTCATGTGAGCACGTGTATAGCCTTTACATACTGTTAGGGCAAGTTCTCTTAGCAAACACCTATTAAGAACAGCACGGTACACGAGGGGGTGGGTGGCCAGCACAACGTCTGTCCACATATCTCCCCAGTGACAATGTTTACACCCTCCACCAGATATTCATTTGAGGCTGAATCGACTTAGGGGAGTCTCAGGAACGCGTCACCAGGTTCAGAGAGTAGCGTACTAACCGCTACACTCCCGCTCCCCCTCTAAAACACACACACACGTGCAGGCACCTCCCGTGTGCCGTATAACCCACGTGTGCCGTATAACCCACGCGTGCGGACACGGAACCTCAGACACACCGACGAGGATCGCGCGAGCGGTGACGGGGGACTCCTCGCTGGCCCCGCGCGTCCTCACCTCCTCTCTCTCTCTCTCTGGGCGCCGAAGCGGCGATGCTGCTTCTCCGGCGTCGCCAACGCCGCCGCCGCGAGCGCCGCCCGAAACGCAACGGAGCCGCCGCCCCCCCTCCGGTCACCGAGGTCAGGGGTCAGCGGCGCCCCGTCAAGCGCCGACCTTGTCCACCTCCGATTTAAAAACCCGGCGCGGTCGCGTCGGCCGCTCCGCCACAAACGTCGCGACCGGCGAGGAGCGAGCGGCGAGGAGCGAGCGGCGTGCGGGGAGCGCCGCGCCGGCGTCGTCGTTGCTCGAGGGGGATCCCGGGCTGCCGGCCGGGCCGGCGTGGCGCTGGGAGTGACGCCGCGTGAATGGAGGTGATGGTGACTCTCTCGAGAGAGATTCCCTCCTTGCCCCCCTCCACCCCCACCCCGCACAGCCCCAGGGAGTTCAACAGACGAGCTCTGATACCATCAGCAAATAGCTGCCTACCTCATCAGCTCCACCGCCCACCCCCCCAACAAAACCACCCCCAACTGCACACATTCCATACCCCGCCTCCCCACCACCACTACCCCCTTTCACAAAAAAGGACAAAATTCCAAGCTTTCCCCCCATCCCCAAGAGCACACACGCGCGCGCGCACACACGCGCGCGCGCACACACGCGCGCGCACACGCACACACGCGCGCGCACACGCACACACGCGCGCGCACACGCACACACGCGCGTGCACACGCACACACGCGCGCGCGCACACACGCGCATGCACGCAAGACAGCGACCAGCACGCGCTACAACCGTACAAAAAACCGGATCCAGCTGGCTTTTGTAGCAACGTTCTCTTCCCCTCCTGGCTGCCTCCCTCTTCCCACCCATCCCACGAAACCCTCGAGCACTGTACACGCGCCGCGCACGCCGACACGATCGCCGCTTCCGTGGCGCACGTGGAGACGGCGCAGCGTGGACACGGCGCCAGCCGCAGCCTGGCCACCGCCACGGTGCCACCGTCGCGGCCTCACCGACAGGACCACGGCTCGGGCTCGCCATGCCAGCCTCACCAATAAAGCCTCGCCACCTCCGACAGCCTCGCTCGGCCACATCATCCACACCCCGAGCGCAGCCTCCACGCGGAGTCCGAGGGAATCGTCAGGCCTGGGGCTCAGAGAAATCCCCCCCACGTCCTCACGAGCTGCACTCCAGGAGACTTACTTATAATGCGAAGGGAAAAATGTATCAATAATCGCAGTTACAATTATTATCTACGCGGCGTCAACATTCGACCGCATCTCAGGCTGGAAACGAACGCCCGGGGCCCTGCCGGGGGGCCCTCTCCGCGGGCCCGGGGCCCTGCACGCGACGGGCCCCGAGGTGCCACCGCCTGCGCCACGCCGGTGGCCGCAGGGCTCACGGACTCGGCTACCTCGGTCGCATCCGAGGCTCTCGATCTCTCGTCCAGTGTCACCCCTAGCACGGGCAGCGTCCCGCGGCACGCCCGGGCGAGCACAAGCCGGAATGCTGTGACATCTGTGGAAAATAGCTTTGTAGCTCATTGGACTCCTCCAGTTTAAATACTCCGATTCCGATTCTGACGGGCAGCGCGCGGCGCCTCCCCGCCCACTACGTTCCGCGTGGGGCCACGGCTCCGTAACTTGAGCCGGGCCTCCCGTCCAACGCACCTCCTGCACTGCGGCTGCCCTGGCTACGAGACGCGTGCCGCCTGCTCCCGTCTAACAAAACATATTCGGTGAGAAATAAAGCCCAGGTCACGGCCCGAGGGCAGCGGGTTCATGGTGACAAAGCGGCGAACGACCGCGGCAGTCGGCCACGGGGGGGAAGGGAGCGATGGCACCGGCGGCGCGAGGAGTGCCGTGCAAGCCAGCAGCAGCGTGCGCGGTTCAGGCAGCAGCAGCAGCGCGGGAGAATGAGAGGCAGCAACGAACAAACGCAGGAACGACAAAGATCCAAGTGTCAGGCTGGAGATGGGTCAGCGCAGACTAAGATGACACGAGCTGGTTTAAGTAAATACGCCCTCCATGAATCATTAAGCGCAAAGGTTGATCCGCCTGAGACCCACAATGAGACTCGCTGGAGTCAGCAAGATTTTGTCAGCAAACACGAGCGGGTGACGAAGGGAGAGAAAAAAACCCCAAAGCGTTTTCATAACATTTCTAAATAAACTCCGCTCGTGTTTTTCTGCCTGTGGAATGTCACGGCCGCTCGAGTCATGGTTGCGAGCCACTCTTGACTGCGCATTGGAGAGGAGCGGAGCCCACCGTCCCCTGCCTCCACGGCCATCGCCGCCGCCGCCTCCTCCTCCTCTCTGTGGGGTCGTCACCGCGCTCCGCGGGGGCAGGGAGAGGCGCTGGGGTGGGCGGGAGACCTGGAGGGGCGGGGGCGGCAGCGGCCACGTCGGTTTGACGCGGCGGCGCTGGCTGTGTTTGTGTGCGCTCGTGTCGTGACACCGCTTTCTGTTTATGTCTTAACTCCTCCGCACAACCAGAGGCTCTCGCCGCGAGCGCCGCGTTCATTTTCCCCACGACGTTTGGCGGGCGACCCTGACGCTCTCCGCCAGCTCCTGAACGTGCGCGTGCCTCGCTCTGCCGTGGCGGCCACAGCCGTTCTCATCCGGTGCGGCGTTGGTTTGCAAAAGCAAACATCGCGGCTGTCGGTTCTGGCCAGAGCGAGAGTCCGACTTGTCGTCTCGGAGAGCCCTTCCCCCATCACGCTTGGCTTAGGTAATTTATTTAGCGCGGCGCAGTAAATGGGAGGGAATAGATGCCAAGTGGTTAGCACACTGACCTCTGAACCCAGCGGCACGAGTTTGATTCCCATCGACGGCTAACATCAGTGGCAAGCGATATCAGACACGATCCTGGGCTCTTTCCCTTCACCATCCTGACGTGGTGATGTGTGGTCAAAAACCCAGATGACCGACACAGAATGGGAGGCCTGCATTCTGAAGAGGAATAAGGAGAAGGTTGTAAATTATTTGACTAATCGAGTCATGTATGAGTGGGGGATGCGTAAAGTGTCCACGTATCATCGTGCGGGCACACGTGAGTGTACATGCGTGTGCATGTGGTTTATATGTTCCTGTGAGTGTGCGTGCATGCGTATCTCGGCGTGTGCTTTAATCTGCGTAAGTGTGCATGTGCATCTGCAAACACGTGTGTAAGTGCGTTTCGGCCGCTTGTGTTTGGCTGGATAAACGGGTGCGGCACAGGCTGGAGAAGAGATGGACTGATTTGGAACGGGGGTTGTGTGGAGCTGGGTGGACTTGCCGTGGTGTCAAGATCGGCGTCTATGGGGGAGGCTCGTGAAGGACGCGACTGACAACAGCGGAGGATGGAGGGGCGAGGCTCGTAACAACGAGCCAAGGAGATACAACACAGCAAAGCGGAAGTGGGGAGCACAGTTGGGGCATCTGTCAGCCATCTCTGGCAGTGAACCCATAACACCTGGGTCTGTCCTTTGACCGCCTGTCAGCGAGCCTTCGACACTTCATGTGGCTTCAAAGTACACCTAGCCTGGCACAGGCGCTGGAGTGACATCACTTGGTGGCGAATGGCGGCTGTTGTTGTCGTGTTTGAGCGCGCTTGCGTACGTGCTTGGGGAGAGGGCATTGTACACCGGGGAGGGCAGCGGGGATGCGAGTCGCGAGGAGAGGGGATCGGGGAGAAGGGGGAGGGGTAGGTGGAGGGAGGGGAGGGGTCCTTGGGGAATGCTGCACTCGTTCAGCCCCTCGGATACACCCCGGCCACTCGCACAGGACGAGCCCCCCTGGATCACCCCCCCCTCTCCCCGCTGCGGTACCCCGCACCCGCTTTGAAGAGCGCCGTAGAAAAGCCGAGAGCGGGATTGGGATGGTGCGAGGCCGAGTGGATGCTCGCGCTGCTTCTCCGACTTTCCACATTCACGTGCCGGGGACAGCGGCGTTACGGCTGCTGCTCTGTACGTTTCTACTGCCACACATCCAGCAGTGGAGGCACGGCAGTGGAATAACCCGTGCAGCTGGCCGTTGGCATGGCCCATTCGCAATCCAGCGGCCGCACTGATTAATACCGCGGGTTCATTGACCATAATAATACATGCCAGAGAAGGCCATTGTGTGCTGGCATCAGAGAACAAATTCGAAATGACACCGCAAAATACTACGACTGGCAAACTCATTGCCCCAGGTCACTGTTGCAAACGAGACTCATACCCTGGTCTCCCGAGTTCTCACCTGGTTGAACAAAATTTACTTGATTTAGCCACGGCCTGAAATCGAACTCGGGTCGCCGAGTTCATAGCGCAGTGCGCTAAACCACTGCCCCCTCGCCAGGCCGCCTGAGCTCCGTGCGGCGGCGTTCATCCTCCCAGGGCCCCCGGCTGCCGCAGGGGAAACCGTGAATGATCTCATCCGCTACACAGGGACGCGGAATTTCCATCGCTGGTCGGCGGTTGACGGAGACGTGCAGCGGCCGCTCCGACGTCCGAGTCTGTGCGCGGGTGCCGCAGGACCTCGCCGAGTGCCGGGGCTCTCTCCCCGGAGGGTCCCGCCTCGATGGGAAGCGGCCGAGCGCGCGGTTTGGAAGGGAGGGCGGCCTCCACCGTCAACGTCGAAGCCCGGCCAGCGCCAGCACGCGGGACGGCCCGTGGCAACGCGGCGATCGGTCGTGACGCCGCCGAAACGGTGACGCCGTGATCGTTCGCGGGACGCTCGCCGTCGCGCGTCCCGATTGGGTCGCGCGCTCGGCTCATCCGCGCGCAGCAGTCGCGGCAGCTGCTTTGGGACCGCACGCTCTCTCTATTTATAGCCACGCCAGAGATTGGCCAAATGGAATGAGACGGCGGCGCAAGTGGCCGCACGCACGCAACCGCCGGCTCTCGCTCGCTCGTCGGGGCCAAGGCTGGAGCCACGGGCGCTCGGGGGCGGGGTCACTGCGGGGGTCGCGGGGTCATGGCGGTGTAACGGGCGCCACCGATTCACGGCGACGGTGTGGCAGAAGTAAAACGACGCGAAGCGCGGCGCCCGGGGTGGGGCCGATCGGCGGCACGGCAAAGCACCTCCTGAAACTCTACGGCCACGCCACAGAGTCGCTTAACCTCCACGAGTGTCTGCCCAGTCAGAGGCGGCCTCCTGCTCTCGCGCTGGAGGCCGACGGATGGGGCAGGGGGGCCCAGGATTGGCTTCAACCGGGGATCTGGGCAAAGGAGATAAAATCTGACCTAAACACACCGCTCGTCTTTTAATAGCCAATAACAACAAGGGCTTGCCGCTTTATTGGGGCGGTGAGGGCACGTGGAGGTGGGGCGTGGTGGGGGGCGCTGCGGTGCGGCCGTGGTGTGGCGTTGCGGCGGTTGGGGCGGCGTCGCATCTCC